GTAGTTAGGACTGTAAATTCAAAATTTCGCTCGAATCTGTTCAGTAGTTTGGAAGAAATTATTTGATCACTGTGAATTTCGGCCAAAACAAAATATTCAAGAAGAAATTGATCTCTTGATCTCTACAAAATATCTCTCTTCCAGTGTCTGTAACTAATTCTACAGAACGAACAAGGTTATCGTTACCAACAATCAAAGTAATTACCCTTCTTAATTTCCCAAGTACACGAGGGTGATCGCTATAAATTGGTACAATGTCTAGTATTTTAACAGTATTACTAAAAGTTACATTGCTGGACTAAGATCTTTCACGGAGTGAAGCAAGATGGTGTGAATGACAGCGTTTCCAAAAACATTGAAGTAAAAGTTTCTTGCGAGTTAAACATTTGGTAAGAATGGTCTTTTCATTGAAGGGTCTTTTCATTTCAATGATCATTGAATGGTCTTTTCATTTCAATTGCGCTCTGGTATGGCTTACACTAGACTTTACGAAAAACGACGCAACATTTCAAGAAGTTTCGAAGGGGTCTAGCTGAAGGTAACCAGAATCTTGACCGCAAATAATTCAAAGTCTCAATTAATCCACAATGATGATTCATTCGATGAGTTTCTCTTAAAATTAGTTTAGCTAGTCCCGAATTTTTAGACAACAAAATTGGAAATCAAGTTTGGTAACTCGGCACTTTGCGCGTAATCCTTGTTTAATTCGAATAATCTCAGACAGATCTAGGTGAAGTCTAAGCTGACGCACAATGCTCGTAATTTTAGCTTTACTTTCTCCTCTGAGAAAGGACAACGTTTCTGCAAATATTGAATGCTGACTAGCAAATATTAGTCTTATCTCTGCTGACCGCAATTTTGCGCAAGACAACCGGCCTCCAGAGTGATGCTTAAAGCATCCATGAGTATGCGCTGCTTCAAATTGTGGAGACGGGTAGCCTGCCGAAGACCACCACTGCCCTGGATGTAATGGACCATCATGATTCCTGCCTTCCGGAACGTAGCATTCGACACTTCAAGCCGTCCGTATCTAGGCCGTTGGTCGAACCAGCCCTCGGTCGAACGGCCACTTGTCGAAGGACGAAACATTTTGGAACAAAACTATGCTATCTGAAACCTAACCTCAGATGCGATGAACGTAAAATTACGTAATTTAACGATGCCTGGAAGCCATATTCGATCCGCGGCCTGGTGATGCACGGCAGGTGGTGGTCAAGGCCAGAAGAGGACAAAGCCGAGTGGTGCACGGCTGATTGGTGTAGGTCCGGAGAGATCCAAGGCGTTCGATTCAGGGCTTATTGGTGCACAAAATTGGTGGTGCACGGCTGCGCTCCCGTGAAGACATCTGTACATCCAGGCGACAATTCTGACGGCTTTACCTAATGAATTAAAATTAGTAAAATTTACGGGAAATTCCAAAGTAGGTTCTGGTGGCTTCTGCACTAATATATTACATATTTCAGGCATAATTTTGGTTGCATTAATTTATTAATGTAATTTTTTTTATATTCTTTGTTTGCATTAAGCACCCACTTAATGTTAAACGTAAAAGTGTTTCATTTCGACACTCATGTACTGCATTTGCCATTATAAATTCCTGTAGAGCCATTGTCTAAATGCGCCTTACGGTCTCTAGCATGATACGCTGCCTAATTTAGCGAGATTTAACGAACTATGACTGCAAAAAACTATTTCTAAATAAAATAAAGTATCTAATAAAATTGAATTCATACACGTGGCAGGGTGGCCCAGTAATTACAGTTCAGAGGACAAAGCCTGGCAATGAAGGTGCGGGTTCAATCCCCGCTGCCTGCGACGGTTTGATCGCAGGCAACGAGCTGTGGTGGTGCATTGGTGACTGGTGAGAGACTCTGTCTCCCGCACCCAGCGCCCGGGTTCGAGTCCCACTGAGGACAAGTTCTACCTGGAAGCTCAGCTCATGGTCAACTCAGCCATTCATCCAACTCTGGCTGATAAATGAGTACCTGGCTTGTCCAGGGTGTTGTGTAATGCAATAAAAGGGTTCTGGCGGGTCAGCGAGCCAGTGATGGTCGTAGAACTACCAGTGGTACCGAGTGCCCGGAAAAACTGACCTATCACCCTCCCTCCCTAGTCGCCACTACCAGGATGGGCAATTACAACAACAACACGGTTTGGTCAAAATCGGCAAGGATGTGAGACAGTAGAAATTAGAGCACCGAGTTGTGTGTTTGAGACGGGCAATGAGCTTGAGCTGTGAAAAGTACTGCGACGTTCAGAATCGGTGACAGGCGACTCTAAAAACCATTACTATTACTGTCAGTAAATCGATGGCAGCAGGTTTAGCTCATTTGATATCTCGATTACGAGGTATATTACATGACATGGAAGCCTAGTTAAGTTACATTTACTATTACTACTGTGTTATGTCATTTATAGCCTACCTTGAATGTGAAAAAAATTAAAATTGCAATCTGAAAGTTGTTACGTAGGTTATCATATTACGAATCACAATAGCGTATTAAGATTGCAGTTCTGCTACCACACTTCATTGAATTATCCTGCCATTTTCTAAAATTCAACAATCTCTTTTCCAGCAAAGTTTGCGAACTAGATGGAAACAGCAGACTCGACCACTCTGCTGTTGTGGTCGAGTTCCGGTTGACATGACATCCGGTTGCTTATTTTAACGCTAATTTCGCAGCCGCCTGTTGCGCCGCGTGGAGTCGATAGATGGCCGAGATTTGGGACGACCGCCGCCGACACCTACACTAAAAGAAAATATTTAGGTTGTTTTGCGCAAACTGCGCAGAGCAATGCTTCAAAAAAATCATAATGCGCGGGAGTCATAAGTCTTCTGACCTTGGGTGCTTGCTGCAGCCATTCTCTTGCCCAGTAAAGCCCAAGTCTCTTCCTTTTATCTGCAACTAATGACAGAGATCTGCCAGGCTGGGCAGTGCATACTGCAAAAGCACTCGAAGCCTTCAAATCTAATTATTAAAAAAATAATGCGCGAGAAAATTGCCCTACGTAAAAGATACGTCATCCCAAGCATGGCAGCCCATGGTAGTTATTTTAATTCCGAATTCGGAACTGATGTACCGGTGGACAAAATTGAGAATATAACCAATCATTGTCAGAAAAATTCGTTTCAGATATAAACGTAATTTTGTTTTCTACATAAATTTCCTTAATTTCTAAAAGCGCCAGTTTTGGGCAGCTGAACAACAGCTCATATTATGTTTCTGAATTTTTAACGGATCTACTTGGAATCCAAAAAATAAGTAATTGTTAGCTATGTGCCGGGGGATGAATTATTAGATTTATTCATTTTCGATCATTATTTCGTTTTCGATGGAAGCAAAAAATAGAAATATTTGCGCACCCATCAATAGCTCATGAGTCACAGCTGTAGGGGTCGAGTCGTACATGAGTGATTGAATGTTTCAGTGTAACTAGTGTAGTGTAACGGAAGGTGGGGCTGAGGGAAGGTATCGCCGTATCGGTGCTTGTACGTAGTTGTACCCTGCACTGACTCTTCGTGACTTCGTCAATTGTCATACTTTAGGTGTTCCCAGTCCAAATCTAAATTTAGAAACAAATTCAATATCTAGAAGCTTTTAGCTACCATAGTAGTCTAATTTCGAGTAAAAATATAAGACTGATTTCCGGATTGAACAGTATACATTACACAGTTACATCGCAAGATTTGAGAGCCTCAAATTTTTTATTATTAATTTACTATCATGAATGAACCAAAAATTTAACATTTTTTTATTATAATTTAGCAGTTCCAGGCTGTGTTGCTGCAAAGTCAAATTTTGAGGCCTGGCTGCCAGACAAAACTTATATATTTGTTCAACTTTTCTTTTGTGTTAAATCACTATGTCTATGATGATGTCATCAATGACTCATATAACTGACTAGCCTAAGTTGTGGGGTCAGCAGTCAGCTTGATGGAATCCAAGGAATTGCTGTTAATGCATTGATTGCAATTTGCATTCAATGTTGTGTTGTGCCAACAGGATGTTTTGCTTATAGTATAGTTATTAGTGATCAACCCATTATAAATATTGTGTCAGGTAATACATATATATTTAGTTATTTATATACCTATTGCTTTATTTAAATTCAACCCTGAATTTCAGAGTCAGATAAAGATGCATTCAGAAAATAAGCTCATAGCACAATTATTATGTCACAATAACATAAATCAATGTGAAACAAAATGTATACCTAGGTACCTTGCTACCTAGCTATCTAGAATAACTATCTTATTTGCTAATAAATACCAAATCTAAAGACTAAAGAAGACTAGATTTAAAAAGGATGATAAGTGATTGAAATTAAGATTTACTCTTAATTTCACACCATTTTAATTGGGTTAAGTGAATTCACTATAAAATAGATTGTAAAAAACATACCTGAAACAGCAGGAAATGTTTTAGTAACAACTAACAACCATCATATATTTTGGAGAAATAAATCATAGTTTAGGTTAATTACCTTTCATTCTATGATGAAATGATGCCCAGTGCGCAGGTAATTCTATAGGTATATAATATGGCATTCTGTGCAGTGTGCACAATTTTGTGATGACCATGGGACTGATGATACATTAATTTTTTGATAAGTGACCCTTTTTTTGCTGTGCAAGGTAAATGTAATCAAAATTCTTGGGTGTTGAAAAATTTTTTTGTTAACTGGACTTACTGGAGCCTTTGCTAACTGAGGTTATTTTGGTTAAACTGTAAATGTGTTTTTTGGGGTGTCCCTTAGTTACTACCCTGGGGGCCGGGGAGATGTCCTTAATTACGCTGTCACGCGGAAATTTGTATGGCTGCAATTGAACCTGCCATATTTTCCCAAGACTAAAATTCAATCCTAGTTTATGTTTAAGTAAGATAGGAAGTATGAATAGTAAGGGTAATATCAATAACTTTCCTCAAATATAAAGATTTTTCCAATGAGCCCTCTTGTTCTAACACATTCAATTCAATAAAAAAAATTTAATTATATAATAATGATATCATTTCAGATTTTACACAATGTTCAGTTCAGGGCCAAGCTATGCAAAGCTCAAAACAAATTTACGTTTGTCAATTAACAGACTTAAGCTCCTTGAGAAAAAGAAAACAGAATTGACTCAAAAGGCCAGAAAAGAAATAGCTGACTACATTGCTGCTGGCAAGGTGAGATAATAAAATATAATTTATTTCACACGTATATATTGCCAAATGCCACTGCCAAGTTTTTCAGTTGGTTGCATGTGTGTGTTGCTTAACAAATGACTACATCAAGTCATTAGTCATTTGTCCATTATATTTATTTGTCTAGTTATACTCAATCCATTTAGTTGGCTCCCTCAAATTAAGTACCTACTGAATAAAAGTTATCCCAAAAAATTCCTATATTGTGTTCAGTGTTATCAGATCTTTCTTTTATTCAATGCTCAATGCAACTGTATTCCTTACTTATTAATGTGACAAAATTCTTTCACTAACAAAAATTATTCCTGCAGATTGAGCGAGCCAAAATTCGAGTGGAGCACATAATTCGAGAGGACTACCTAGTTGAAGCCATGGAGGTCACTGAGATGTACTGCGACCTTGTCCTGGCAAGATTTGGCCTTATCCAGCAAATGAAGTATGTTAATATAATTGCTTAGCTCTGCCTGTAATTATACCATAATAGGGGGTTACTTAGAATCCCGGGGTAACTTGGACCACTTACAGTTTTTTAACAAAAACCCCCAAAAGTCAAAAACTATTTGACATAGAAAAATTTTGTCAATGGCCTAATACCTAAAAATTAAAGGCCTAATACTGAGGCTGCGTAACACAATAGAAAGCTAAAAAATTATGCATATCTAATAGGTTAAAAATGAAAAATGTGACCCACGAAAAAGAGCTATTATTGAAAGCNTGTTTCAATTTAAGTTTAATAAAAAAAAAGTAGTCTAAGTTACCCCCTTTTACGGTAATAGTTTAAACTCATTTATTGATGCATAATTTTCCATAAAACCCTTAAACTGACCTAAAGTCAACAACAGAAAATTCTTATAAATTTCACATGTTTTAATGGAAAATTTTAAGAAGCCAGCATCATTAGTAGTGTGCAACAACAAAATCTCCCAGAAGAATTGCAAACCTTCAATGTACCACGCAAAGAAGAAATTAATGAAATAAAAGTAATCTATTGACATTTATATATTAATTTTATCTGGAGGATGTATATGAGATGAATGTATTGTATCCATATTGAGAGCATTTTATGCCTCTACAAATTCTACCAGTATTCAAATCTATTTTTTGTCTTCACACAAAAGTTTATCAAGCCTATTTTGCGTTAGGCACATGTGTTTGATTGAACCTGAAAGGAATGCATTTGCTTAGAAGTCATTGTCAGTGCAAATATGTATTATACCAAACAAATGAACAAAGTTGCGATTTATTTCTGTCGAAAAGGAATAAGGATTATGCAATTCTCATTAAATGCTCCAAAATTGTAACTTAAAACCTTGAAAGAACCATGATCGGTCTCAATATTACACTATTTGATGTAAATTCCTGCTGCTGTATGTGGTATATGCACTTTAACCAGTAATATTACCTCTGTCATAATGGTCAGTTAAGTTTTTTTATTGTAGTTGCATCACACGGGGGCGGTATGTCAGACTGACATTCTTGGACACATAGTTAATTTTGGCTTGTGTTTTACGATTGGAACTTTGATTGTGAATATTAACATGTTCTCTCACAAATTTGCTCACCTTATGAATGCCCCCACTATCATGACGTTTCTAACCTCATTGCAGAGACCTGGACCCTGGTTTAAGTGAGGCCATCTCGTCTCTTGTGTGGTGTGCTCCTCGACTCATGTCCGATGTGCCAGAGCTCAAGGTAAGACTGGTGTCATTACCGTTGTGCAGCAATAATTACTGCATCATATTCTTACCATACTTGTTACATATAAAAATGTTGTCTTCTTGAAAATTATTATTCTAATGAATTTAATAATTATTTTCCTGTATTCTATGTACATGTAGCTAAAAAAATGTTTTATTTGCAGATTGTTGCGGATCAGTTTGCACTGAAGTATGGCAAGCCGTACGCCGTCGCGTGCCGGGAGCAGTCCATCAGCACCATCAGTGAGAAGCTCATCCACAAGCTCAGTGTTCAGGCGCCACCTAAAGTTCTCGTGGAAAAATATCTCCAGGAAATTGCCCACAACTACAATCTGGAATACACGCCAGACCCTCAAGTACGTACTACTTTTGCGTACTTGAGGGTACTTACAAACAACATTACATTTTTTGCGAACAAACTACGTTTTTGCATGAAGTTTTTTTTTTCCTTTTGTCACAAATTTTGAATTCAGCTTATAGTGGTGTACAAGTTTGATTTTGTTTTAGTTAGTTTACTACCTAATTGGCACCATCAACTCAGCTAGTTGTTTGCCTGTTGAGTACATTGGAAGTTAGTACGGTTACATGCATTTGTCAATGAAAGTGATTTTAAATAACACTGAATTATATAAACATTGTGTGGAGTTATAAAAAGAGGCTTGTACTTCTAATTACAGTTCGTGTAAAGCTTTAATGCACCACACCACCACTGAGTAAAACTCATTATTTCTTCATTGCAGATCATGCGCGAGTCAGAATGGGGGGCAGATGCACTCATCACCCTGGATGATGTAGGCAAGAGTGATGGGGCAAGTGGAGGGGCTTCAGGGGGAGGTGGCGGTGGAATCCCCCAGCAGCCTTTCTCATACCCAAATAAAGTGAGTTCCTTTTGGTGTGGTGTGGGGAAGACCGTGGAACTGGTCGACTGGTTTAACAGCTGTACAAATTTTCAAAACTGATGAACATTCTACTAAAAGTGAAATCAGGAGTGCGGTTATTCGGTATTTACATTAAAGATTCTGCATTTCTAGATAGTAAATACTCTACTATAAATACTCGAAGAAACGTGTTTTACTCCAATGAACTAGATCATAAAAAGGTTACAATTGTCCGGTATAGCATCTGGCGCTTCATATTCATCATTCATATTTTAATCTCTTATTTACACAGCCTGATGCATTGATATTTTTCTACTCTGTGTGCTGCTTAGGGGAAACCTCTTAGTGTCCAAAGCCTTTTGCCAAGATGTTGAAGTCCACGAGTTTAATTCGTTTACCGATTTTATCTAATAACTTAACTAAATTTTATTCTACTGCCTATCAGTTTAGTTTTGACACAAAGATGGCTCATTCCTTGGACTTGAACATCTTGGTAAAAAAGGTCTTTGGTTTCGTTTTCAGGATTACACTGAGGATTCAACTCCATTGGACTTGAGCTCGCTGCATCTGGCAAATTCTCCTATTAGTGGAGGTGCATTTTCAAGCCCCAATGGATTCTCAACCCCCAATGGATTCTCAATCCCCAGTGGAAATGGATATCCTTCACCCAGCGAATATAATCCACTCTTTAACGGAGTTCAAAACGGACATAATTCGCCTCATCCAGATAACGGAGCTTGTCGCCAAGAGTCAACTTCCACTGATTTCCTGGCAACATCGATGGGAGATCTGCCTTGCCATGCCTCGTCAAGTTCAACTAACATTCCCATCAACGGCTGGGCTCCCCGTGTGCTCCTCACCAACCCTCAGTCTCTGACTAACTGCTTCGAGGAATTCAGTTCTCTGGTCTATGCTCGAGAACCCGACGTGGTCGTTGTGTCAGAGACATGGTTTTCCTCTAGCCGCCCTGCATCGCAGTTCCAGCTAAACGGCTACCGGCTCTTCCACGACGATAGAGAAGAAGGCCGTCGTGGTGGAGGGGTTGCAATCTACGTGAAAACTAGCGTAACTATTTCTATGATTCCCTGCGAGACCATCATAGAAGTTGACATTCACGTACCAGAGGTGAAAGTGCCGCCTGAGCTGGAGTGTCTATGGATATGTGTCGGTGGTAACACATTCGTTTGCGGTGCTTACCACGCACCCAATTCGACTACTGGCAAGCTTCTTCTCGATCACATTGTCAACACCACGCTCGATCTCAGACGTCGGTTCGGGGGCGATAAAATACGTATTATTGTAGCTGGAGACTTCAATCATCTAGCATGTGATCGACTGAATGCTGCGCTGGGAGTGCGCAATATGGTGCAGGAACCCACGCACCTCAACAGCACCATCGACCTCATACTTACTGATACTCCTGACCACTACAACCTCCCGCTGCTGCTGGCGCCGCTACACCACAGCAAACATTGCTGCGTTGTCCTCGATCCTAAGATTTAATTTCTTCGAGACAACGCCATTAATTTTGATGACTTTACTGTTAATTGAAATTTTTGCATAATTAATCTGTTTCTTATTTAATAAATAAGCTCTTGATTGTTGTTGATGCTTTGTTTGACAGTTGTTATGTCCTAATGACCAGGCTGCCATTCAGGCAGTGTTGCTAATGATCGTGTATGTGATGTTGTTGTTGTTGTAATTGCCCATCCTGGTAGTGGCGACTAGGTAAGGAGGGGGTGATAGGTCAGTTTTTCCGGGCACTTGGTGCCACTGGTAGTTCTACGACCATCACTGGCTCGATGTTTAATGTATGTAATCATGTGTATCGATGTCTAATTATATTGCCGACTTTGCAGTTGGTTCCATGTTTTAATTTGGTAGTAATGAAACCTGTCTTACTGTGGTATATTATTTGACTCCTAAAATATTTTATAACCGCAATTTATTATTCCGACAATTTTATATTCCTCTTAATCTTTTAAATGCGTGTAATTTTGTGTTTAAATCTATTTATCTCCAAGCTCTAGTGCTTTATGGACTCAGAAGCAACGACCTCAATTTTTTCATTGACTGATGCCATGTTTTTAATCACATTTCTGAATTGTTGTTAATTTTACGATTTAATAATATATTACTGATGATCTTAGTACTATTTCCCTGAATTTTTTTTTGCAAATTTTTGTTGCATTCAAGCAGTAAAAGTTTGTAATTAAATGGTTTTGGACAATTGTTTACTCATACATTGTATTCTTAGATGTTACTGTGTCTTATAACATCAAATTTATGTTTTTGCTGACCGAAGTTGCTGATGTTTGTAAATGTTTGATTGTGTACATGCATCCCTTATTTTCCTATATTATCATATGCATAGAGTAATTTCCTCATCATACGTGTCTGCACTCTGCAATGTAGCTGGAAGCGCTTGAGTGATGAACTGAGTAAGTTTTTACCTGACGCATATCTCGCTATTCTTTGTTAATTGTGTTCTGTTTACTTGCAATATTCTAGGTACCTATCATTTGTTCTCATATTCTCTTCAAATTCCTCTTCTAATTCGTACAATTTTTGAACAATTGACTTCACTCCTACCTGTGTAAAATAAACGTGTCAGTAATCAGATATCAATTTCGAAGTTTGCCTCTTGAAAGCAGGCACTTTGGCTGTCATTAACATAACACTTAACATTGAATTATTAACTATCTCAGGGATTAAACTTCATTATTCTCTGTCTTTTTACATAAATTACCAACTTCACTTCATTAGGCTACATTTTCAATGGAATGTTACTATCGAGCTCGCTGCTTATATGAAGTTGGAAATGGAAATCATGTGAGTCCAGTGCAGCAACTCGTAAGAATCGCTCGTGAATTGTAACTAGTACGAATTTATTTCACTTGAATAAATTATTGACTTGCCTTTTTTTCCGTGCAGGCTGCAGAAGCAATGGCGTCTAGCAGCGTTGACTTGAATCTGCCGAACGTGCCCGGAATGGCCGCGTACCCTCAGCCCTTCGTGTACCCCACCCCCACAGCCCCGTTCAACTACCCCGGCCCTCCTGGGGGACCTCCACCTCCTCCAGAAGTCGAGCCTGAAGAAGATCCTCTCGTGCCTCCCGCTGTGCGTTTCACTCATCTTTTATTCACTGTATCTTTGTAAAAATTGTATTCATTTGCTTTAAATCTTTGCTTAGCGTCATGGTGATGCATTTGTCTTCTCACTTTTGGCCTTGGTCCATTTCCTGGCACAGCTATAAATATTTCTTTTTTTTTCTATTCATGTTATTTTAATTCAAGGTTCTGTACGTTGTTTTTCCATTGTTTTATGCATAAGCAGTTCAATGGACAGGGCCTTTGACTATCAGATTTAAATGTAAATTCCACCTCACGATTTCTGGCGCACCGCTAGACGCTTTCATGACGCAATCGTGACGCGACGCGCTAACCAATCACCAGCACACAACACACGCACGACGCTCCCATGATTCCCGACGCCCCATGACGCATGACACACCGAGTCACGCCCCTTCCCCTCCCCACAGCGTCACGAGTTCCCCACTGGGGACGCTGGCACCTGGAATGACACGAGGCTGAGCAGCTCCCCTCCTCCTCCCTACACCTCCATTGGGACGGTGTCCCCGCCCTCCGCACCCCCCTCCTCCCTGCCGGCTGCCGCCCCCTCGCACAGCAAGCTCAACTTCCCTCCTGACGTCCCCGCCACGGTATCTCCACACCCGCCGTTCATCTGATACTCTAGCCTGATAACGCATATAACGCTATAATAATCTGTTGAGTTTATATTCTTTAGATAAAGAATTAATATCTCCTAAAATATTCTAGCACATCTATCCTTATTGGTTTATTTTCATTATCATTTTTCATGTCAGTTGATCCTCTTATCAATATATATAAAATTTATCCGATTTCTGTTATTTCTATTTTCAAAATTATTCCTATCAATAAACACACTGACACTTGCTTAGGTTGTATTCGGTTTCGAATTATTATTCGTGTTTATTTAACCGTAATCGTTTATTTTAATTATATTGATGGCACTTGCTGACTGCATTCAATAGTTGCTGTCGTTTTTTCCTGATAACTCTATATACTTTATATTTTAAGCATCTGTTAACACTCTACGTGACGCGACGCGCTAACCAATCACCAGCACACGACACACGCACGACGTACTCACGGCGCACGAATGACGCACCGAGTCACGCCTCTTTCCCCCACAGCGACACGAGTTCCCCACTGGGGACGCTGGCACATGGAATGACACGAGGCTGAGCAGCTCCCCTCCTCCCCCCTACACCTCCATTGGGACGGTGTCCCCGCCCTCCGCCCCTCCCTCCTCCCTGCCGGCTGCCGCCCCCTCGCACAGCAAGCTCAACTTCCCTCCTGACGTCCCCGCCACGGTATCTCCACACCCGCCATTCATCTGATATTCTAGCCTCATAACGCATATCACGCTATAATAATCTGTGGAGTTTATATTCTATAGATTAAGAACTAATATCTCCTCAAATAATCTAGCGCATCTATCCTTATTGGTTTATTTTCATTATCATTTTTCATGTCTGTTGATCCTCTTATCAATATATATCAAATTTATCTGATTTCTGTTATTTCTATTTTCAAAATTATTCCTATCAATAAACACACTGACACATGCTCAGGTTTCATTCGGTTTCGAATTATTATTCGTGTTTATTTAACCGTAATCGTTTATTTTAATAATATTGATGGCACTTGCTGACTGCATTCAATAGTTGCTGTCTTTTTTCCTGATAACTCCATATACTTTATATTTTAAGTATCTGTTAACACTCTAGCTAACTGTGTTATTTTTCTCCTTGTATGAGCTTGGGATCGCTTTTGTTTTTCATTTCATATCGTTCATGATGTTAGTATATTACTGCGCACTTTCTCGCATGACAACATTACCTAATAGTCTTTTAGAGAACATTAGCCGTTAGCATATTATGCTAGTGCTAAATCCCTGTGGCAAATGCATGTTTTCTCCTGCGCTGTATCTAGATTATTTCAAGTATTGCGTTCTGGCAATGATATGTGATCGTATGATAATTATGAAGGATCGTATGCTAGATATAGGTGGACGTCTCTACTCATCACCTTTGATGTTTTAAAATGAACTCAAATAATCATGATTGTATATCTTATATGATTATTCTGGGAGATATGCTAATTAATGTTGGAAGGTTCGTGTTCTATTTTCTAATAACTATTTCGCTTTTCAACCCTCACCTATCAATTTTTTCATGAAATGTCTGCTTGCTTTTGAATCTATTGCTTGCTTTTGAATCTATCTATTTTTCCATTTCTTGGTTGATTTGCTGTTTTCCAGTAACTTCGACAATATTGCGTGCAATATATTTTCTTTGGCCGCTCACTTGGAAACGCTTGAGTTGCGTTTGACCATTGAAGATCTGAAACTCGTTCTAATCAACTAATAATTATAGTTCTAAAGGCAGCAAAACTGTTGCTAACTTTTTTACGTGCATGTATTCCACTGCCATGTGGTTGATTGCCACAGAATGAGGAGCTTATAGAGTTGGTCCTTAACTTATATATATTTACCGAAATGCAAGTTCCATTTAATTGCAGTCTGATGAGGACCGCAAGCAGCCGCCGCAACCTTCGCCCCGGTCTAAGTTCGGTGTTGACAGCGACGCTGCTGGCGACGACCTCGGGTTCTCGTTGCCAGACCTGCCCAACGTGCCAACTCCGTCAACAAACGCCAACAACGACGCATCTCCTACCAACGCCGATGACATCGACTTCGACGACCTCAACAAACGCTTCCAGAACCTCAAGAAGAAATGAGGCATTTAACCCATTAAAGATTGGCTTCGTGCAAACGTTGTTCTGCATTTCTTATTAACAAATTGACTTTCGTATACTTTCAGTGTAGGATCAGACTATTTACGTGCCGGAATTCTTACTCATTTTAAAATCGGGCCATTGCTGCGAAATAGATTGACACATATTTTGGACATCGCATTCAGTTGTTCAAACTTTGCATTTTATTTTACCAGGGTTATACTCAAGTTTGGTTTTAGTTGCTTTATGGTCAGTAATGAGAAAATTAAAAACTCTTCAACATATTTATAGGCAGTCTGTGAATCTAAAAACCCTTTTTTAATGGCGAATAAAAGCAAGAAGTACTTGAGTAATTTCAACACTTTGTGTAGGTACTCAAAATGTGAATTAAAACTCTTAATATATATCTGTCATTATCCATAATATTATTCATTTGATTTATGTGTGATTTCTGATGGTACATAGTTTCTTTGAGCAGTTTTGACAACTAGCCATTTCTTCCCCTGTCAATTAATTTTACTCACCTTTTCCGTAGTGTTTACGCTGGCAGAACTTGTATCAATGAATGTCACAAACTATTAATGTTTATTAAATATCTATCCCTATATTTATTCACTCATATGTTGAGTGGATTTTTTCATCAGAGGAGGACCTTTATAGTTTCAGAAAGATAAAGAGAAGAATTTACTTGCTGTTTCCTTATCTCACCACTTGTCGTGACTCGGTTTGATTTATTATGCATTTTCTATGTATCGAATTCCGCATACAACCTTGTTTGAATACCGGTATGTGTGCTTGATAATAAAAATTGCATTGGTGACAATAATGCTAATTATCATGGCACTATATGTTAAAAAATATTATATGATGATTAAAAAAATTATTATATGATTATAAAAGTTATATTATATTATTTTATGTTGATTTAAGAAAAGTTACCATCATTTGATCATTTAACATTGTGATAAAATTGACTAAATTGTGTATTTCATAGACTGGTCATCAACTTACTAGTCGAGGTGGTCGCATTATTATTGTTTCAGTAGCTGGGATATTTGGAGTAAAGTTGTTTTTCGCCTTTTCGTCCAATTTATTAGACGAGTTCGCCGTCGTCATGGGCATGGTTGAATTACATGTAATAATTCAACCATGGTCATAGCAGTCTTCACGTTAAAACTCGCAGTGCCTTAATAACCTATTATATTCCTAAAGTATAACTCTCTTGCAAGCGCTCGTACATCTTGATTTTTTAATTTATGTGTTCCCTGATCTTTAATACTCCTTGTGGAATATAAATCTTGTGCTATAGGTGGTCACAGGTTAATGAGGTTATAGGTTTTCAATATAAATTTAATATCTTAGTTTCTTTCTTGAGGGGGTTTTACTTTCAGTCGATGCGCCTGTTCTTCTGGCGAGCGTAGGCTTATAACGTTACGACACCATATCGTTGATATATAGGCATTATTTCAGTATATATATCTATCTAAATATATATTCTCTGATGAACTTGAACCCTTGGGTGCTGCCTGAACTAATGCTTGTCTATTCTTCGCTGAGATAACCTGGACTGCTCCATTGATTTTATCGTTATTCGAAATAAATGAGCTGGGTTGTATGAATGAAATGCTGTTCATATTCTCAGGCTTTTCTGCATTCTAATTATGTGGGTAACATTCCATAGGGGATCTCCAAATTATTGTATACAATACGAGTGACTGAACAATAGTCCATGCCCATTTGAAAGCTAACTGTCTTCAATAACACGTTTGTAGGCACTGATGTAAAAATTTACGATATCGTTAACGTTAGGTTCGAATATTAGGTTGAGTTTTATTGAAGAAGTTGAAATGATGCACTTTAATCAACTTAATCACCACTCTATGTTAAAAAGTCTATTCGAAATTTTAGTATTATTGTCCTGAACTTGTGCACGTTTGTTGTTTGTGCGTCACCTTTAGAAGATTGAGCTGTTAGTTTATCTCATCATTGTTCATGAACGGTATGTATCAGATTAAACTACGCTAGAGTCGCAACCCTTCAATTAATTCTTCCATGAAACGCATTGACTATTGCTTGTACTCAAAATAGCAGATGACCCTTATTCATCAAGCCGTCCGTTACCAAATTTTAGACATTAAGGTTTTTGGGGCGTTGAAGTGATCACTTGGCACTCAATATGTCTGGATGTCTCCTCCAATTTAGTGTGTCTGTAAATATTGGAGGCTTCAAGCATGTAAAAATAAAGGGAAAGAAGCTGTCCCGCGTCCGAGACATCATTTTTTTCGAATTCACTGCGAATGCTGTTGACTTTTATTCGAAGTCAATTTTACAAGTTTGTCACTGCTAACTGTTTAGTTTAGAGTTCATCCAAAACTTTGCGTATCTAAATGGCTATATTGTTTTAAGAGTAAAGTGTGTTATTCCATATCAAGTTTTAATTTAAAATCCATCAGATTCTCAATGAAGTCATGAAATAAAGTAATTGTTTTGGCGCATGTTTCCGTTCGTACGGAATCGAATTCGTTTTGAGTATTGATATTCATTTATTCTGATGGTTTATTGTGCTAAACAACCTTTAAATTAGGACGTTAGTTTTTTATTTGACCTTGATAGCACGTCTCGTTAACTCTAGCATATAAATCAACTACATAAATTATAATTATCTAACAAACAACCACTCTTATGGATCTCTTTTCGCAAATCACTCTCCATGCAAAACTCGCATAGTGATAGTGGCAACTGGCAAACAAGTGATTTTTTAGAATCGGTTCATTTTTAATTTTCTCATTTACTCAAGATTTAAACTATTATCTTATGTCTGACGATACTGGTATCCATGATACTACAGGTCAGTCTGGACTCTGGTCTACTTATTGGACTTGAAATTGAACTCAAAGTGTTGAAGGAGAGTCTAAAAACGCTCTGCTTTCAGAGTTTCAGTGCTTTGCCAGAATCCAGTTGACACTTGACACTAACTCACTAAACAAATTGCAAACTAGTAGTAGGCTAGTAGCCTAGGCCCTAGGGCAAAAAATATTTGTCTGGAAAAATCTGGAGCAAAAAAAATATTTGCCATATTAAAAAATGTTACTTACATAAAAGTTGCACACAGGTGACAGGTGTTGGCTTGAAAACGTAATTGACGGAATTTGCCTATCTCATTCCAAAAAAAAGGGCAGCCATTTCTATGTGACGAGGTAAAAAGGGACATCCCCCTGGGGTAATTAGGGACACCCCCTGAGGTATTTGTTAGATACACACCACTGTGCAGAGAGTGAACGAAGATTTAAAGACCTACGGGCTACGCCGCTACGGCGATGCATTATCGGCAAAATTTTCGCCTTCAGAAGATCTTGCCGACCAGGTCTCATACAATGGCAATAGTCGTTGTAATTTCAACGACTTTCGCTGAAGTTATCGACCCATTTTTTTACTTTACAACGACTTTCGAGCTAAAATAATAGGTCATTTATCTTTTTCAACGACTGCCAACTAATGGGACCCTTTCACAATAAACTTCTGACGACTGCCAACAAGCGACTTAGCGAGACCCGACAAGATACGACTGCGGTACTGACTAAAACCCGGACCCCAACAGCGCATTACGAGCGGCGGATGTAAAATGTTCAGCCCCGGGACNAAGTTCTCGTGGAAAAATATCTCCAGGAAATTGCACACAACTACAATCTGGAATACACGCCAGACCCTCAAGTATGTACTTTTGCGTACATGAGGTTACATAAAAACAACGTTACTTTTTTGTGTTCAAATACCGTTTTTGTATGAAGTTTTTTCTTTTATCACATTTTAAATTCAGCCTAAAGAGGTGTCCAAGTTTGATTCTTTTTGTTAGTTTACCACAGACTACATAATTGGCACCATCAACTCAGCTAGTTGTTTGCCTGTTGAGTACATTGGAAGTTAGTATGGTTAAATGCATTTGTCAATGCAAATGATTTTATATACCGTATCACAACATTATATAAACATTGTGTGAAGTTAGAAAAAGAGTCTTGTACTTTTAATTACAGTTCGTGTAAAGCTTTAATGCACCACACCACCACTGAGTAAAACTAGTAATTTCTTCATTGCAGATCATGCGCGAGTCAGAATGGGGGGCAGATGCACTCATCACCCTGGATGACGTAGGCAAGAGTGATGGGGCAAGTGGAGGGGCTTCAGGGGGAGGTGGCGGTGGAATCCCCCAGCAGCCTTTCTCATACCCAAATAAAGTGAGTTCCTTTTGGTGTGGTGTGGGGAAGACCGTGGAACTGGTCGACTGGTTTAACAGCTGTACAAATTTTCAAAACTGATGAACATTCTACTAAAAGTGAAATCAGGAGTGCGGTTATTCGGTATTTACATTAAAGATTCTGCATTTCTAGATAGTAAATACTCTACTATAAATACTCGAAGAAACGTGTTTTACTCCAATGAACTAGATCATAAAAAGGTTACAATTGTCCGGTATAGCATCTGGCGCTTCATATTCATCATTCATATTTTAATCTCTTATTTACACAGCCTGATGCATTGATATTTTTCTACTCTGTGTGCTGCTTAGGGGAAACCTCTTAGTGTCCAAAGCCTTTTGCCAAGATGTTGAAGTCCACGAGTTCAATTTGTTTACTGAGGCAGGAGCCAGCAATTTATGGTGAGTGAAGCTAGAGTATAGACCTGTATTTTGCATGTTTCAATTCAAGTTTAATTTAGCTAGTAAAAAAATGGCATCATTTATAAAAAAAAGTGGTCTAAGTTACCCCATTTTACGGTACCACGGTTTGCCGATTTTACCCAAATTTTTTACGAATTAAAGCCTTGGGCGTGTCCCTCCCCCTAAAACCCCCAGTTCCCCATGGGTCCCCCATTGTCGTTTTCTATAGATAATATATAAAAAACCTGAAAAAATCGGTTTTCCGATGCCAACCGCCAAAAACGGATTTCAGATTCTTAATCTACACCCCAAAAAACATATAATTAAAAAAACACCCTTTTTTTGGGATGCACTTAATCTAAACTATTACCAAGAATATTATGGTTTGAGACTTTTAAATAATTCTGTGAATATATTAGGAATCCTTTAAGTATACTTGTATTTGCTGATTTCAAGTGGTAAATAAATTAATAGGCGATTAAGTTAAGCAACGGTTTTAGACACGTAAAAACTAATTCCGACACAGCTTGGAATTAGACACACACAACTCGTTCCGAGGTTCCAAGCTGTGTCCAAAAATTTAAATTTTCTTAATTAAAAGCTTAATAACATTTTTTAATTAAGCTCATTCTGAGCTGTGTCGTATTCTGATACAGCTCACACAGGGCGTTGGAATTCCAACTCAGGGTGCCAGAATTACAAATTAATTGAGTTGGAAGCGTTGCCGGAATTAGTCTCACAATGTGCCAAATTCAGTCACACACAGCGTCATAATTCAGGGATTTTGTAGGTTTGAATTCTAAAGGCTTTTAAATAAATATGGCAACAGTTTGTGACGTTTCATTGTTGCTGGCGCGGCGCGTAGTGTGGTGTTTTGAGAGTGACGTAAACCAATCAGAACTTGAGTTGTGCATATGGTGATATTTTTTATAGCTATTCATTTCTTGCTATGTCCTTAATGTGTCGGAATATACCGTGTTTACCCTAGCAAGTAGACAGTTAGATCAAGGGCAAGAGGTAGGTTCAACTTTTCAAGTACCGTAAACAATTTCATTTAATGATATAACAATGTATTTTTGAATTAAAATTGTCCTGGTCAAGTAATTATGTGCAATAAACTCCTGAGTCTCCTCAACTTTGAAATATAAACTGAAACAGGAAGGAACTGAACTGTTTACTGTCAGTCTGTCATACCACTGAATGACTCACTAGTAGGTACTGCATTGCTGAACATGAACCACGGTACTGCTAATCTGCCATTGCAATCCAGAAGTGGCAAGGTTGTTGGACCCAAAAATTTTCTTTTTGCTTCCTCTACCATCACTGTGCTGCTGTTGGCACTTGGCAGAACTCTGAAATTTAGGGAGCATACTCTAAGAACTGCAAGCAGCTAGCTTGATGATTGATCCCCATTTTCTTTCATTAATGCCCTAATAAGATAGTATAAATGTTTAATTTTAGCTCAAATTGGCACCCTTTGTGAACAGTAAATCCCAGCCAAGCAAGCAGACAATAAATATTTTTTTAACAGGATGATGTCATTATAATTTGAGTTTTTTCATTTGTTTATAAACCCAAGCCAATCAAATTAAGGTGCCAGTTGGACAGAACTTTTAAAACTAAATGATTATGTAAATGCCTCCGCTGCTCCGCGTGCGCTGAAGCCAAAATTGCCTGTCCGCCATTTTGGTAGCTTTATTGTGATCCGCACTTGGTTTGTGCACGTACCTACAATTTGTGTGCCATAGCAACACTGAGAATGTGACAAAGCTATTTGCAGAGCCAGAACATAATTTTATTAAAATGCAAACATTTTATGTGCTTCACAAATAGTTACTTAATATTTTTATTAATGGTTTATTTATTTATTTAAATTATTTTTTGAGTTTTAAGTATAAGTTGCCTAATTCAATTGTGGATTTTAAGATACACAGTCAATGCAAATGATTAAATAGCAGCAAAGTTTTCAGATAATTGTTGCCTTGACTTTTTTATTCTGCAATTTCACCCTATTGGAATTGAGACTGTGCCTGTGAGCTATGGATTGACTTGTACCGTCAAAGGGGGTAAAAAAAATACCGTACAGGCAAGGTAAATTGGGACACATATCCCACATTTTGTAGAAATGTTGCAGCAGCTAAACTAATGAAAATATTGCAAAACTAAAAATAGTGGCGTAAACTTCAACATTTTTACCATCTATTATTTATAAAGCTAGTCAAGAAATCAAAAGTTTACTATCTCTAAAAAATCACTGAAAAAAAGTTTAAAAAGTGCTATTTTGGAAAAGTACTTCTACTAAGGTACCTACTAAGGTCTGGAGCAAAAAAAATATTTGCCATTTTAAAAAATTTTACTTACATAAAAGTTGCACACAGGTGTTGGCTTGAAAACGCAATTGACGGAATTTGCCTATCTCATTCCAAAAAAAGGGCAGCCATTTCCATGTGATGCGGTAAAAAGGGAAAAAATAGTTCGTCATTACTCAGCGTAAATGGCTTTTCATTAAAAATTACCCGGCGACGCATCTTTAAAATGGCCGGCGACGCTTTGGGCTTAAAAATCCATATATTGCCGACGCTGCATCCACCCTCTGCATAGTGGGATACACACACCCCCCCCCCGGGGTTCCAGATAAATTCAGGAGCCTTTTATATTGCGTCTATCACCGTACAAATAGCATATGGAATTTTTTTAAGATGCCATTTGATAGCCCTCAGTCCCCTCACAAAGAGCTATAAGATGAGCCTAAATTTGTTTGTGAAATGTTTCATGGTAAGAAGTTATTAACAAAAAACGCTCAAAACTGTCCCTTTTTACCCCGTTTGATGGTGAGAACTCTTCTCCCCTAACTTGTCTCAGTATTCTTGTCAAGCTGCACAACTTGTATAGGTACTTGGAGGAGACCCTATCCTAACCCCATCAAGAACTTGAAATGGATGCTCTAGCAGTATTTTTATTAGCTATATATACTACCACTCTTTGTTTACTATAAGTAATGCTGTATCTATGTTAGTGCTAATTCTTATTAACCATAAGTGAAATTTCGGGAAACTAACTTATATCCTATACATTTAATTTCTATGGGAATTGAACTGAATGCCAAATTGAGGAGAACAGAAATACTCTATGCAATTGTCTTAGGGCTAAATAATAATTCTTACTTTTGTGTATAGTTATTAGTTATTTATAGATTGTTACTGCTCTCTGCTCTTTTTGTGAAGATAATTGCTGTTCACCTTGAATTCATTTTTAAACCATGATCCTTCAGAGACAAGCCCACAGGAACTTTATTTTATTTGAGTATAACTATGCTCACTGTGTCACTCTGCTAGACCAACTTGGTCAGAAGAAGCTCCAGGCTATGCTGCCCAGGCTGGACCTTCAGTAGAGTCTTCAATCTCATGTGAGGCACAGTGCAGCCTTGCAGAGTATGTCAGTAGTCACTAAACTAGAATGAAATATGCATATATTGTTCAAACAAACCTCGTACATTATTTATCAATGAGAGCTCTGTCTTGTAGCAGCAGTCTCTTAACATGCCTGCTCTTTACAGTGTCTTACCTCTGGCTTATTCCCCACAGTTGCACAAACATCAAGCACTATCCTGTTAAGGGGCTACTTTGGAAGAGTTTCCAGAGCTCCTTCAACTTCAAGTAAAGAAGAAGTATTCTTCTCGGAAGCTCTCATATCAGTGGTTTATTCTAATTAAATAATAAATCATATTATGTTTTTGCTTTCACTTCAAATTTCAATGAATGAAAATGTCAACTCTACTCTCTCTGAAATGGAATCACCACCACTCTACATTTGTTTCAGTTTTTAGTGCTTTAAAATCAAAGGTAAGCTTTATTTACTGTTACTGATGAAAATTAAACAGGTAACAATTGTTATAAAAATTTCATGAATTCAAGGATAGAAAAAATTTTAATCCATACCTTTATTAGAATAACAAGTTTAGAAAATTTCTATGTTTTACATAAAATCTTGCTATACTTCAAATTAAAAAGGCGTTACTTTTTACTGAAATCTTGGGCCCTAAGGAGACAAATTTTCATTAAATATGGAATCATGCCACCCAATGCCTACTGTTGTTAACAATCAGATTAGAGGCATCTTATAATTCATCTAGTGGGAACTCTCGGTTTCATAAATGACAGAAAAGCTCTAGCTGCAGCTCAAAATGTAGATATGTTCCATGCCAGCTCCAAACCATGACTAAAGCTCTTCCACCATTTTCAAAGTTGTGAGTTGTCTGACTGAGATAATGATATTTATGCTAGATAAATTATCTCATATCTAATTGTTGAGTTTAACAAAAGTGCAAGATCTAGTATAGAAAATATTGACTTTTTGATCTGTGACTAAGAGTTTTCCTGCCATTTTTGGAACTGCTAGATCTCAAATGTATTGAAAATTTGTTGCTGCAGCCTCCAGATTTCAGCAACAACTACTGTAGTAATAAAATTACAATTACTGATATCCTACCAATGCAGCTTGCTCTCAGGCCAAAGTATTTCATTTGTTGTTCCAATTGAAACTAGGATCTCCTCTGTGATGTGAGTGTTGTGTGTGGTACACGCATCTTCCCAGCCCACAAACTGGTTCTCGCAGCAAGCAGTCCTTTCTTCCAACAAATACTGGCACAACAGTCGCAATGCACGCAACCTCTCAACATGATGATAGTTCTGCAGGTACTCAATGGTGATTTATTTGTTTTAGGTAATCATTTGCTAACTGATGGAGCTTGTTCCTTGAGTCTGAACTTGATTGTTGATGAAGTTCCTAATTTATCTTTGATGCATGTTATTGTCATATTTAATTAATTGTTCTCTTAGATTTAAAGTATATTTTTATGTGCTTGATTTACTTCACTTATGCACTGTATAATTAGGTTCTTTCTTGTAAATGTTGTAACTATCATGCTTAGAACTGTTAAATGCCAATTCAAGAATAAAATCCATCAGCCTCTTCATAGGATATGTATTGAGTGGAAGGTGTTCTTTCTGGTCTTGACACTCTTCTTTCCAATAATAATTATTGTCTGTACTACAGGTTCACAATATTTACTGTGGTTGCAGAAGGTTGACATAGGTAAATTTTTGTGATTGCAGGATGTTGACAGTGGAGATTTTGAAGCATTATTGGACTACATGTACAAGGGAGAGGCATCGGTCGCACAGAATGCTCTGTCTGGCCTCATCCGCACCGCTGAGCAGCTACAGATCAGAGGCCTGGCTACTGGTGACTCTGTTGCTCAGCTCGTGAGGGATAATGACATCATGCTGGCGTCATGCTTCAACTCCCTTCATTATTCAAGACATCCTGATGGCGTATCTGCTGGTCAAAAGTCAAGAGTACATCCAATTTCCAAGAAAGTTGCTTCTATAAATTCTTCCATTTCACAAAAGGACTCTTCTTATGATAGCGTAACCAACGACAAAGTTCCTATTCCTATCTCCTCCAATGAACGTGTTAATTGCATTGATAATCGTCAGATGTATGGTACTGAAGATAGTGAAGTGAAAGAAGATACTTTGCACTGTCCTGATAATGAGGAAATAGACACAGAGCCTTTTGAAGAGACCTGTCAAGATTCAGATGGAAGACTTCCCCTACCAGCAACAACTGCCTCTGATGGTCAATGCGATGGTTCACTTGCTAGCAAACAAATTAAAGACAAGGAAAGCAATAACTACAATAAGGCTAAGAAGAGAAGTTTGTCAGACTCTTCAGGGCTGTCTAAACCAGAACTTTTCAAGCATCGAAGGCATAGAACATTTGAAGAAGTGAACTTTCCTCGCGACAATGAATCTTTTAATCCTGATTATTCTGCTGCACCTTCAGTGAGCACCTTCTCTTCATTGATTTATTATTTTTTATTGTAAAAAATACTATCAATTTTAAAAAGAATAAATATCTTAATTAATATTGATGGAATCATGAACATTTCAAATAAGTAATGGAACACTTGTATATATTCCTGAATAGCTACAGAAATACTTTGTTGTATTTGTATGCAATGATGTGATGTTGTCAGGTGCTACTATTTTCTAACTGTCACTGGCAATATGTACTTATTGACTGGTAACTGAATATCATGAGGTTAAGGTTTTTTTTTTACTAACAATTGCTCAGAGTACTGACGAGATGAATGAAATGCAAGAAAGTTTTAAGCTTTTTAACAAAGAGGTAGTAGCTAACAGGCATGACTATGATCTGTAAAGCACTCACATACCTATGTTTTGATTTAATATTATGCTATCATAATTGCATAGTTCAATATGATGAGAACAAGGTAGGAATTGCAGAATGTATAAAGTGTTCAAATATTCCAGCGTGGTTGTGGAGATGCAGTTATGACCGAAGTGGATTATACTGCAGTAAAGACGGAACCTCTGCACATTGAAAGAGATGAAGAATCTGCCAAGGCTTCTGAAGCTTACACATCTCAAGTACTTACCTGCTTCATCTTAAGCTTGGATTAAAAACCATATTTTTCTAATCAATATGATAGATGCAATATATAGGGGCTGTTATCAGAGCTGCCTCTAAAAAATTAACTCAAATTTAAGCATATGGTGATGATGGTATATAAGATCTTCATGTCTACTGCAGCAAGAATTATTGATATTTTTAAAGCAGCATACCTAGACTGGGCTGTGGCTTTATAACCAAGCTCTGGTTTGTAGAGTATCCGGCTGCATTGTAACTTACAATTACTAATCCCACAGGACGATGATGCTGCCCGGGGAGAAGCATTCGACGACCAAAAGGATTTCGCTGCTACACAAGTGAGTGCAACACTAAATATTAGCTTATAGATTATTGGGATGTTTATTTGGTTATGACAAATAAATTTCTAGATTGCAGACTGGACTTTCATGCCTCGTTGCCTTGAGATTCGCCACTCTGTACACGATACGCAGCACACGCACCGTGTTGCTACAATACTGTACACATTCTGTATTGCCACGATGCTTGCACGATGCACGTTGCCACAGACAAATTTTTTCAGAGTAAAAGTTATTAAATTGTGTCCAAATCGTTCGAGTTGAGCAATGTATTCTGGTCTATTCATATATCAATATGGTCAATTATTTTAGGTCTAAGTTATTGCGTCTTTTCATTGAAGGTTTATGATATTGTCTATATCTTTAAAATATTGTCTGGTGAATAACTTATCTCTGTTGTTCTTTTTCTTCTATCTGTAACTGTCACTAAAATCTCTAGATTCCTACTCGGTGAAATATAATTATACCTATTTACATAAAAATATAATCTTTTCGAAAAGTAACAATGAATTGCATAAAACGGGCGCGTGTTATCACTTGTATTGAGTAGAAAGCGTGTGTGAAGCCAAGGTGTTGGTTGCGGCGGCAGTCAGCGTGGTTAGTTCAGCTGCAGCGTTGCCATCTCTATCAGCTGTCTATTTCCTGCATGCCACAGAGCATTACTCTACGAGTAGATTTTATCCGTCATTTGCAAATTATTCATCAATTCGAAATAATATATTGCTCCTTATGGAGTCAACATGAAAATTTTGTTTTTTGAAACAAAGTAGAGTCAGATTGACAAACGGTTTGACGCTGCAATGCCATTGACATATAAACCTTTAGTTTCGTTAAGCATCCATGATACCGAAAAAAATTTAAGCGGCTAGTCCATTACCCAATTCGATTATTATGAAAATAAATATCCACACATGAACTTTATTGTTACCATAGAATAAGAGTACCATAAAGTTCTTGTGAAAACTAAGAGCTGGAGTTATGACGGAAATGAGTAGAAGTTAGCTGCAACTGACCACGCTGTCTGTGCGCAGGTATGGAGCTTGACGAGGGAAGAATGGGACCTGTGGTCGCCTGTTCGACCTCAAGCATCTATTGCTTCTTCCTTAATGCAAACCTCGCCTCTAAACTACACTTCTTCTGCTCCTAAACCTGGCCCTTCCACTGGTTTTTCCTCTCTTGACGCGCATGAAACTGCTAACCGCTTCCCCGGCGTGCCAGGAATTGAAAGTCTTTCTTCAGGGTTCAAGAAACTAGATTTCAGTCCAAAAAATAGTGACAGCCAAAAATGTGGTATGCGCGACGTAAGCGGCGATGATTTTGTGGTGACATCGGTGCCTCTGTCGTCGCCTGTGCATCGCTCTGAAGATTCTCCCCGGGCTAAAAGTGTGACACAATCTGGATCTATGCACCAATCTGGAAGTATGCCTCAATCGGAAAGTGTGTCCTGTTCCACAAGTGTGTCTCAATCTGGAAATGTATCTCAATCTGGAAGTATGTCTCAATCTGGAAGTATGTCTCAATCTGTAAGTGTGCTAACACCGCAATCCACCAATGGCTCCTACCGCGTCAGCCGTCTCGACGACGGCAACATTAACTCAGGTTGTGGGGAGCCTGCGCCCCCGCCGTCCCCCTCATGGAAGTGCCGCAGATGTTCCTTCTCTACCGCCGATGCCAGCATTTACACCCTGCACGCTCAGCTCTGCAAGAACATCCGCCCCGCTGACCCAAAACCCTTCAAGTGCAACAAATGTCCTTACTCGGCCAAGTCCCAGAGTGCATTCAATTACCATCAGAAGACACACTCCGGCGTCAAGCCTTTCGCGTGCAGATTTTGCAACTACCGAACCATCTTGAAACGCAGCCTCGTTGTGCATTTGCGGACCCATACGCAAGAAAAGCCCTACGCGTGTCCGCTGTGTTCTTACCGCGCCAACCAAAAGAGCAATCTGGACACGCACATGAATCGCCACCTGCCAAAGAAACTGCTACGCTAATAAATAATTGGCAATCTAAACACGCCCTTGAATCGCCATCTGCCAAAGAAACTGCTACTTAATAAATAATTGACAATCTGGACACGCACATGAATCGCCACCTGCCAAAGAAACTGCTACACTTACAAATAATTGGCAATCTGGACACGCTCTTGAATCGCCACCTGCCAAAGAAAATGCTACGCTAACAATTGACGCAGAGCAAAGATTTGACCGTCTCAAAATCTTCTGCACTATTATTCCATTGAACGTACCTTGATGGCGTTGAATTTTGAGCTTTTTAGCGAAGAAAAATATGAGCAATTATAATTGTGGCGTGTAAATCTAAGCGATTACCTTACTGTGCCAACCACACCAATTTTGTGACTTAAGCCATCATAATTATTTCTAAGATTTCTGCAATCTCGGCTCTTGTTCAAGATTACTTGATATTGATAGATTAGATGCTATCTTGGTTCGTAATAGCCGAGATAGTGTAAGCATCTTTCTTCTGAAAAACGTTTATAGGCATCGAGTTCCGAGTCCGTGCCACTCAGAAACCAAACAAATTCTTAATTCTCGTATGATGTAGTTTTTTTTAATTTAATGCTTCCGGTTATCCTTAGCTGTAATTGCATACTCAGTAATATTAAGGCTATTTTTAGGATTTCCAAGGTTTAATACGATTTTGAACTTTGCTAACAATGAGCAACACTTTCGGTAGCCAACTGCCTCTTTTTAGCGCATTTTCTCATTTATGGAAAAAATGCACTATTGTGCTCGCCATGTCCGTCTGTCTGTCTGTCTGTCCGTCCGTCTGTCCGTCCGTCTGTTCGTGACCTCAAGTTTTCGTCGACGAGAAAATGCGCTCTCTGTCACTCACTGCAGTGAGTACTGAGTTATATTTTTTTCTGCTTGTCTCATTTTTAAAACGATTTTCATTGCTTGGATTATACCTCAGACAAGAGTCTCTTCACGATTCGCTCGATGTTCAAATCTGGAACAGAACTGGAGACAATGGATCAATAGACCAATGTCGTCAGCCAATACGTTCATTTATTGTTTGTATTTTTGTGTAGTATTTTACTCGAATTATCACTCTATAATTTACAGCGAGTAAATTCGTTTTGGTATCGTTAGTTCATCAATTATCACGTGCAATATTTTAGTTTCTTATTAAAGAAAATGTCTTCTTTTCTCTTTCATGGTGTCGTTTTCATATCTTTTTTCGTGTCTTTTTTTATATATTTTCATCACTTTCTTTACACGTTCCTTCGTATTTGCCACGGTTTATTCAGCTGACAATAAATAAAATCAGCATCAATATATTCATAATTTTTTATAAATATTCATGATACCGCAAATAAGTGAGAGTCTTCATCGAGATATACCTCGCTCACCGATATTATTTGATTTGCAATATTTGTTGTCTTTGATCCAAATATTAACTAGTTAATGACAAAATCTTCTTCATTACCATGATGCTTTACCTCCAATTTATATACTTGTAGTGTCGTTCTAAATTATGTCTAAAGTTAATAATGTTTTTCGTGGCACATTTGATTGAAGTTTTGTGGCTTGCATTAAGCTAGTGGGTAGGTTTGAGTAAACGTTGTATAGATGGTCTTCCATGGACATCTCTTGCTGTACTCTACATAATTTAGTAATTTAGTTCCCGGAACATAACATCCTCGTAGATTTTGTGAATCACATCCACTTCCGCTATGCAATACTGTGGTTCATGATAGATCACGCCCTCCAGATAAATGACTTTGAAACAGCGTTGATTACGAGATGAATACTACCTTAAAAAACATTTGATCGCCGTTATTTCAACGTCATATGTCTTGTGGGCAGTTTGTAAATGATTTGCTTGTGGCGTCATACCTGCCGATTGCTCCAGGTGCTTCCTATGTTACGGACAACGTTCCACGATGCTTCGCTTATATGTTGACAATAGGGCTTTTTAGAACACAGAAATCTTCACCAATGATTTACCGTTATTCCCGTAATATAAAGCAGAAAACAAACTACAAATTCTCATATCGAATGATCAGATTCCCTGATGGCTATTCGTGGGAAACTTTTATCCGTCTACTTTGTTATCATGATATATCTTTGCACGTATGTGCTCTAAATAATTTTATGAATTACATTTGTGCATGGATAGATGATAAGATTGTGTGGATCCTTGTTTTAAATACATGGCCCTATTACCTCAGTGCACCGACAAAAACCAAGTGCAGATCTCTTCCTTGGAATTGTAGTACAATTAATTTGTGTGATTTGTCTTCTCCTGATTCAGTATTAATGTGTGCTGCAGTATTCATTAAGCAAATAGAAGCGTTCGTATGAGACATAAGTATTCTAGCTTTGCTTTATTATTAAGGTATTGATAAGTTAAGGTAACGTGTATACGCCGAACTCGAGTTGCCAAAACCAACCTTCACTCGATGTAAGTTATGCTAGTTAAGCTCTAGGTTATTTGCGAATTTTATGTGTAAAATATTTCTGTTATTCATTTCTTTGCTGCTGATGCAAAATAATCAATAAAATTTTCCTCCTCGGTCATATTTTAATTCAGATTTCTCTGCTCCATCAACGGCTACAACAAAATTACCAAACCGTTTGCTGGTTAACTTACTTTTCATTGGTATTTACCAAACGACTTAGGCTTCCTTCTGGACTGCTTGATGCACACTTCTTCGTCTTGATGTTACAAGAAATGTATGCTGCCTGCATTTACTGGCCTTATTTCACTTTACATTAGCATGATCTATTGGATACTCGCAAACGGTGTTATTTTGGCATCCATTGGCATCCTAGTTTTTGATGGTAGCTAATTAATTAATAAACGTTAATTGCAATAGCTACTAGAAATGAACAGATATTTTTCATATTATCAGTGAATTTTTCGGGAGAGATTTTATCAGGATTTCCCCTTCTTTGCCACTACTGGCAATTCTGTTGTTGATACTTTTTATCCCTACGATTTTTCTCAATTGTAGGGTCTCCGCCCAAAAGAAGAAGACCAGGGTTCTTGGGAGTTGTCAACGACAGTGCCTGCCGTCGACACACCCACTATCGACACCGGCGAGGACCGCGGCCTCACTGCTCTCTTATCCCTCGCGTTCTCTAATAAATACATCGGTGCGACAGAATCATCTGAGGCGGACCCAAGCACTGCGAACTCTTCTAATCCAGCGTCACGGCTTTCCAAGCAAACCAGAAATACAAACCTTAACAGTACCAATGATTTGGGAGACACGACATCCAATAAATCGCATGAATTTCTCCATTTTATTAGCTCTAGTGACACTAGTTGCAATAACCCCTCAAGGATCATAGACTTGACAGCTGCCGACACTGAAGATGGCTACGCAGTGGGCGACTCTTGGAGTCACTCATTATTCAAGCCCCAGAACCAGGACGACGATCTAAATTCCCTGCAATCAGACCTCGCTCCCGAAGGTGGGATGGGCCCAGAAACAAGCGACGGAGTCTACCAGTGCCAGGTTTGTTCGTACCGCAGCCACAAGAGGTGGGACTTCATGAACCATGTTCGTATCCACACCGGGGAGAAGCCCTTCACATGTCCCTACTGCCCGCATCGCTCCGCCCTCAAGAATAACATGCGCAGGCACATCATGCTTAAGCACAAACTTCCTTTCCTCCAGTGAACAGGCACTCTGTTAAAGATGGCTGCGCAACTTGTTTAGTTTATGCGTTAAAAATTTTTTGTAAGAAAGGAAGAAAAAGTTGAGCGTTTTGTTAAAACTCACTCAATAATATAATTGTGTATCGTTTTAGTACTATTTAGAACTTGATTTGACTCGATTTGTATTAAACTGTAAGTATATAAAGCGTGTACCATTTTAATACAATATCGGAGTTGATGTTATTAAAACAACAAAACTGAGAGCGGCGTTCAAATCCTGCAATTTATTTACTATTTAATACAACTTTACGGAATTAATCAGTAACCTTTGGAACTTGTGGACATGGGTTAGGCATTGTATTTGACCCGTTTTATGCATGTAACTACAAAATCAGCTGCCATGTACTTATTACGCTAGCAGCAACTTAATAAAACCAAAATTCAGACAGCTAGAAAAAAATTGTTATTCATACCCGCGTTGTGACATTAATTGTGCATTCTATAGAGTTATAAAAACCTTCGGCGTTGGAAATTTCTAATAAAGAATCTTTCTCCTTGGGTTTATTGGAGTTGCTCTTCCCAGTTTAGAGCTGAAATGTAGTGCACGATATTTTGTATGGGACAATTTTTTTACCGGTATTCATTATTAATTTATCAACTTAGCAACAGTGAAATGGCAGTTCAGGAATGAATGTACAGATAAACACATCTAAAATATCGGTACAGTTTTATTAGACATCTCAATAAATGCACCCTGTACCACTCACTACAAAGTTATCACATCCATGGTGAAATTTTCCGTTCACCCTGTATTTAGGGTAATTCTAGTCTTCTTTAGGTTGAATGTTTGTTGATATCGGTCGACACGGCGTTGTACAACTTTGCCGCCATATTGGATTAGTTCATTGACCTAGCAACTCAGAGTGTTAGACAGTAGTGGCTATACCAATACCACAATGGCCGATATTGTCGATCCTTCAAAACTAAAGGTTGCCGAATTAAGAGCTGAGCTGACTGCTCGTGGCTTGGATAGTAAAGGCAACAAGCCAGTGCTTGTCGAGCGACTGCGAGAAGCTATTGCTGCTGAGCAAGGTACATGTTTTTTTTTTTTCAAATAGTGTTCTTAGTTTATGAAAAATGAAGATGTACGTAATGAAAATGTTAATGTCTGGTTATTTTATCCTAATGTCCTAATTATTAGTAGACTTCAATATAAATACTGATGTGAGTTGTGAGATATTCAATTACCTACTGCCTCAAGTGCCTCTGATCTGTGCCAACTGCCAAGTCCTTGAAGATTAATTATTCATTTGCCAATCATTATTAATGGAAATGAGTTGTATTCGCCAATTTTTTAAACCAGTATAGAATATGTAAAAATTGCCAATTGTCAATTCAAGTAGGTAATAAATAAACAATGCACATCATTTTACAGGCTACAGTGAGTACAGCCTACACTGCTACAGGAATTGAATTTTTTTTGCTTATTTTGAAAATCTTGTAGCCCCAAAGTGACCAATTTTCAATACATTTGGATTTTGGAATCTGGCAGCCTGAGTGGAAAATTGGGCAAAAACCATGCATGAATTGAACAAAACTGTCCATAATTTTGGCTAATTTATTCTATTCCTATAACATTTTCCCAATTTCTTCATCAAAAAGAATAGGGTAAACATACCATATTCCAACACCTTAAGGATGTAGCGAGAAATAAATGCCAGACCATAGTGGCAAACCAGAGATTTTTTTAGAATCAATTAATTTTTAATTTCTTCATTTATTCAAGATTTAAACCAATTTCTTAAGTATGATAATACTGGTATCCATGATACTTTACTGGTCTACTTACAGGACTCAAAAATGAACTTGAATGAGAGTCTAAAAAACTCTCTGCTTTGCCACTATGTGCCAGACTGTAAAGCATGACACAGCATAGGTCGCGGACGCCGGTCGAGGACGCCACGGCATAGGTCGTCTAAGGTCGAGGTGGATGCCACTGAACACCACTGGACACCGGTCACCAATTATGCTTCTCCATAAATCGCGATTTACGATAGATATGGCCGTCGGCCGATGCACCGTATTGATCTACACGCTACGATCATAAGTTCGTAACTACGTGTCGTAGCGCGTAGTTCCGATGGCTGTGAGAGCTACATTTGAGCACCCAAGCATACGCACTTACAGCCACCTGAACTACGCGCTGTAGTGTGCAGTCCCAATGTCTGAGACCCCTCAGGGGGGACTTCTGACGGGTGTCTGTGCTCGTCAGAAGTCCTATGGGATTTCACGCTCCTAGGGGGATTGTTCCTGAGCGCCCCACCGCTGAGCTCGCGGTGTCTGACTGTAGGTCTCAGTTGTGGGGTTAAGTTATTATGTAGGCAGGATTCCTTACATTTCCCTTCTCTGTCTCTCTCGTAGTATTTGAGTGCTTGCGTTGAGAGAGCCTCACGGCAATGACAATGGGTAACAAAGCAGCTTGTGATAAATCATTTTAAATAAAAACTACATCATTAATCTTGTCACTTGAACCAAGCCAACCCAATTCATCCCAACCAAATTCAAACAACCTTTATCTAACTGAACCCAACAGAATCTAACTGAACCCAAGCCAATCTAACTGAACCCAACCCAATGCAACAAAACCCAACCCAATCCAATTCAGCCAAACCCCACCCAATGCAATCCTAACCAATTCAACCCAAACCATTACAACCCAAACCATTACAACCCAAACCATTACAACCCAAACCATTACAACCCAAGCCAATTCAACCCAACTCAATTGATCCCAATTCAAATCAACCCAATCCTTCCCAATGCAATCCAACCCAATTCATCCTAACATCTAACCAAACCCAACCCAATTCTTCCTAACATCTAACCAAACCCAACCCAATTCAACCAAAACCAATGGAACCTAACCCAATTGATCCCAATTCAAATCAACCCAACCTTTCCCTATGCAACCTAGCCCAATTCATCCCAACAAAATTTAACCCAACCCAATCGAACCAAACCCAACCCCATTCGACCAAAACCAATTCAACTCAACCCAATTGATCGCAATTCAAATCAACCAAATCCTTCCCAATGCAACCCAACCCAATTCATCCTAACCATATTTAACCCAACCCAATCTAACCAAAACCAATTCAACCCAATCTAACCAAAACCAATTCAACCCAATCCAATTCAACCCAACCAATTCAAATCAACCCAATTCAATTCAACCAAATTCATCCCCACCTAACTCAATTCAACCAAAATTCAATTAAACTCAACCAAATTAAACCATATTCAACCAAAACCAATTTAACTTGTTCCAACTTGATTCAACCCAATTCAACCACAGCCAACTCAATTAAACCCAACCAAATTCAGCCCTAATCAAGTCATTCCAGCCCAATTCAAGCCAACCTAATTAAGTAAAATTAAATAGACTGAATCATAATGTGTAAGAATGCATTGTGATTTTATTTGATTGCACTAGATTTCATTGCAATGCATTAGAATGCATTAGAACGCATTAAATTGAATTAGGGTATGTTAGATTTCATTAGGTTACATTAGATCGCAGTAGAAAGTGTCAGTTTGAATATAAATGCACTAGATTGTATTAGGTTATCTTAGATTGAATTAGAATGCATTAGGTTACATTAGATTGCCTTAGGCTACATTAGATTGCCTTAGGCTACATTAGATTGTCTTCGGTTGCATTAAATTGCTTTAGAGTGCAATAGATCGCGTTAGGACGCTATAGATCATGTTAGAACGCTATAGACGGCGTTAGAACGCTATAGACCGCGTTAGAATGCTATAGATTGCGTTAGAACACTATAGATTGCGTTAGAACGCAATAGATCGTGTTAGAACACAATAGATCGCGTTAGAACTCTTATAGATTGCGTTAGAACGCAATATATTGCGTTAGAACGCAATAGATCGCGTTATCATAAGCCATCCAAATCCTGATTTAGTTTTCTACCATGCTTGGTGGTGCACTGATTTCTGATACAAATTAGTTAGGTGATATGTCTAGCAGGAGTCTTGGGCCTTATAAATTGTTGGAAAACTGGACTTCTTCATAGAGTAGGTATATGTTCTATGCATTGTGTCTTTAATGTCCCATATTTTTTATAATTTTTAAGAAAAAAAAGTGGAAAGAATATTTAAAAACAAGTAGTGGTAAGGAAGCTCTATGCCAGAATTGGGAAGTATATATTTTCCATGCATGTATATCTTATTTTTGTAGTATTCAGAATTGTTTAGAGTAATGGTACAAGAACTAAGCCAAAATTTCTGTCTTTCCTAACTTGTCACAGCATTAGAATTTATGTCATCAGAAGATCTTCTCAAAGACGAAATATATATTAAATTTTATAATTCAGAAATATAGTGAATAATCAGAAGAATGGTCTAATTGATTGGTATCATTTTTGCAGAAGAAGCTCCAAAAGAAAATGTTGATGACCAAGAACCTGAACCAGAGGAGGAAGTAGAAGATGTAGAGAATGAACAAGATTATGAAGTTGAAGCTCAAGAGACAGAAGAGAATAAGCCTGAAGAAGAGGTTTCTGCAGCCCCAGAAGAGGTCCAAGAAGAAAATGCAGACACAAATAAAGCAGAAGATCCTTCAACCTTTGAGACGGACCAGGAAGAGCAAGTTGATGATACAAGTGGTGACGTCAATGCTTCTGGTGCCACTGAGAAGGCAAAAGATGACTTTGAGGAAGCTCCTGTTGAGCAGCTGGGTATGTCTATGTTATTGGAACAATGTTATTTTTTATTATATTCTCTTTTGCATTATTCATTCTACTACGTGGTAATATAATTTGATTTTGACATCTTCATGCCAGGTTCATCCAAGTTTCACTATTTTGCCATTATTATCTATTTCATGAATTTTTCTCTCTAATATTTGAATAAGTTGGTAAAATTAAGATTAATTTCTCATTTCTGTCATTGCATTTGAAAGGAACAGCCGGAATCGATGTTTCTTTCATATTGTGTTTTTACTGGAACTAAATTACTGTGTATTATCCTCTTGCTCTATTTAGATGAACTATGTCCCTATGTAGTTCTCGGCCTATGCTCCTTATTAAGCCTTGAACAAAAGGCATTAATGGTACTATTCCATGCACATATATTCCTTCTTTTTTCAGGATCTCTTTTTTATTTGCATATTATTTCTTGAGAATATGTTCTTGAATTCTCATAAATGATTGCCATTGCCTGGCAATGTATTATTTCTTGAAAACCTTTGCCTCTATAGTATGTGTTCTATTTTTCTGTATGGTATTCTCACTCTTTTATAGACGATGATGAACTGAAAAAAGAAATATTAGCTGACGAAGAGGAGCAGCTTGAAGAATCTGAGGACAAATCTGCAGTAGATTTGATCAAGGAAGATTTCTTTAATGGTCACACAGAAGAACTGCAGGGACTGGAGGAGGAAGGTAAGTTTTTTTGTAAGTTACATACTATTTAGCGCATTTTCTCATGGAAAAAAAGCACTATGGTGCTCACCATGTCCGTCTGTTTGACCGTCTGTGACTCGCATTTTTGTTGACGAGAAAAAGCGCTCTCTGTCACTCACTGCAGTGAGTACCGAGTTATTCTTTTTAATGCTAAATATGGTAATTGTGGGTAGTGAAATGTATTCAAAGAGATTGTTTGCATACTTTTGTTGCAAATGTTCTTTTTATTAAGGGCATTTAATTCTATTTTTAGTATATGTCTGAAAGAGATTAAATCTTTGTTCATATTCAGATATATAATAGCAAAGATTTTTAAACCATCACATCAGGTCTTGGAACTAGTTCAATGTGAGCAAATTTTTTTGTTCTGATCACATTGAATAATTCAAATGTTCCAGATCACATTGGATAACAGTTTCATCACATTTATACACATTTACAGCCTTACAGGTGATTGTCACTTTCATTAAAAAAATTCATTCAAGGAAAATGGTTTTACCTTCCCTTACATTACTCAATTCAAACTACCACAAAAAAATTTATTCCTTTTTAATGATTTTATGAAGTTGTATATTGCTGACATTGTTTGTACATAATTTGGCAGAAGTTAAAGAAGAGGAACCAGACACAAAGCCCATGGAGACTGGTGCGCAAGAGGATGGCTTGGGCTTGAAGACAGAAGAGGCTGAAGCTGAAGGTGCAGAGGACGAGAGCTGGGACCACAAGAGAGGCAGGAAGCGAGGGGCCTCGCCTGTCAAGACGGAGGAAGAAGACACCAATGCTGCCAAGAAGAGCCGCTCTGACATGGATGTCTGCATTATTTCTGGCCAGGAGGATGCCTTTGATAAATCCCTGCTGGTCTTGGATATGTGTACGTATTTGGTATGCTTGGTTTTTTTTCTGTGGAAGTAGTTTGCATTCATTCGTGACATCCAAGGATATTTTCTCAGGCGTTGTTGATTCAAAAACATCCTCGCGTTGTTGATTCATCAAGTTTAATTGTTTATGCATCTCAGATTAATTATTTTATAGTATAGATTATTTATAAACAATACAAAATCTTGCTTTGTTCGCAAATCTTTCATTCTGTGATATATAACTCTGGAATACCTAAACAAATTTCACTTATTTAGTGAATTCCAGCATTCAAAAAATTAAGATGATTTGCAGACAACTCCGACCTGTCACTGAAGATCGACACAACCACGCGATTGTCAGCCCTGCCAATGTGCGACAAGAGCTTCTGCTACATGTGGCACGGCGTACGGGGCACTTATGGCTTCACAGAAGGCCGTGTCTTCTTTGAAGTAACAATCGTCAGGGACTGCGAGGTGCCACAGCTTGAAGAAAGTGAGCAGCATCCTCATGTGATCAGGGTGGGATGGTCTGTGGATGACTCGACCCTCACTCTTGGCGAGGAGCCCAATGGTTGGGGCTACGGTGGTACAGGCAAAATTTCCACTGACCTCAAGTTTAAGGTGAGCTTCATTTTGCTCAGATGTTAGTGCGGCACATTTAGCCTTTAAGATACAAATTGATTGCATTTGATTAATCATATTCGAGTTTAAGTCAAATTTATGCATTCAGAGATAGTAGAACAAAGACCGACATGGATTTCTACAATTTATGCAGTTAGCAGTTAGGACGTAAGCAGTTGCACTCCAAATAATTCTCTCATTAGAATACATTCATATGAGCAGTGTTATAACATGGCAGTTATCTCATGGGAACAGTGAAGAGCTAGCTATGTTGTGGTCATGGTAATGAATTATTTCATAGGAATTGTGATTAAGAAATGAAATCATTTTGATATGTTTTTTGAACAGGATTATGGAGAGCCGTTCAAAGCAGGTGACATAGTTGGTGCTTATTTGGACCTGGATAGTGAGCCGATGGTGATGTCCTTCACCGTCAACGGCAAGCATCAGGGCATTGCTTATGAGATCCCGCGAGCGGACCTAAATGGGCAGGCTCTCTTTCCACACATCCTTACTAAAAATACTGAATTCAAGGTAGGCTCGCATTCATGCTATAATTTATATTTTTTCTATTGTGACTGTCATAGCATGAACGCTCATGATAGTTAGAGATTTTGTTATACTATTACTCTGTCATACCAATAGAGCTTGCAAAAATGAAGCTTGTAGTTCTCCAACACTCTTGCATCATTAATCATTCTTCTTAACAATTAATCAAGACGAGTAACTGCGCATAAACAAAAATAAAAAGCTCAGGTCATTTTAGAAGAAGGTATGCATATCATTGTTATTATTTCACACAATTCATTATGTATTTATTAAAAAATTTCTGCTTATGTTGATTTATTCATCTATATTAACACGTTTTGTGCAGGTGAATTTCGGCACAGAAGAACCGGCACACACGCCACTGGAGGGCTACACCATTGCAGGGCTGGTGCCTCTAGCAAACAGAATCCAAGCTTCGCAGGGGCCTTCCTCGAGGAGTGATTGTGAGGTGAGAAATCAATTTCTACATTTACTGAAACCTACCCTGAAGCATTTCCCAACGCTATTTCATGTTATATTTAATTTTTTTTCATTTTAAATCCTAAATTATTTTCTTTTTTGTTCTTCCGATTGAATTCCATTCAATACATGTATTTTTCAAGTTCATGTTTGCCTTGATCTTAGCTCAGTTTCACTTCTGGTATTCTGTACCAGCGAGATCACACATTCTAAACCAACAAGTACAGCAGCGCTTCCAGCTGTTTCTTTTTAGACCTTACCAATGAAACTATCATAAAAGTTGTTTTTCTCTAATTATTTTTTGTTTAGCTTTAGATAATTGTGAATGTTTGCAGGTTATTATGATGGTTGGCCTCCCAGCCGCCGGCAAGACCACCTGGGTGCAGAACTACTGCCGTGAGAATCGCCACATGAAGTTCAACGTGCTGGGCAGCAATGACCTCATCGATAAGATGAAGGCATGCCAAATAATTTATTAAATTGTATCAATGCTGATTTAGACTCATAGTCCCTTGTGTTTTACTTATTTTAAAGCTGTACTGAAACATGAGAAATTCTCCAGTCGATTGCTAGATACGACCTAAGTCAATACATTCAAATCAATACATTACCCTGCAAAGGTTGAATCGAAAGTTTGTGTGCAGGTTCAAGGCATGAAGCGTAAGCGTAACTATGCCGGCCGTTGGGACCAGCTCATCAGCGCTTGTACTCGCAGTCTGAACGACCTCCTCCACTTGGCTTATAACAAACATAGGAACTACATCATTGACCAGGTGAAGCTGGCTGCCTTCTTCTCTGTCAGTGTAACACTTGTACTTTTTACTGATTACTTCTGTATTTTACTCATTGCATTTTGTGCGTTGTTGCCAGGCTTCAGAAAATCCTCCAATACCACTATTATCTGAATTTCACATGTGGGAACTACCAGTACAATTGGTTTCTTCAATGAAGTCTGGATTGGTGTCTCGGTGACAAGCTTGAATCGACTACCGGTATCAAGTTCCCCGTTTTCCAATGCTTGTGTAGTTAGAATTGTGAGGGCGATATTTATCGTTGAAAGCTCCTCCTGCATTTAGGATATTCATACAATTAAACATGAATTTTTCATATGTATATATGGCATGAAGTTAAATAGTGACTCGCGGCGGATGAAATTATGCTTCCATATTTACTAAGCATCCTCTATGTCTGACTATGCAGTAAAGCTCGCTCGTCTACCATGGAGTAATCAGTTAAACATCGGATCTGCGGTGCTGAAATGTCCTTGAAATCATGAAATGGTTAGTTGCTATTATGCACTTCAATAAATCTTATTTTCTTCTAAGGCAGTTGAAGCACGTGCATCTTGAGAGATGCTATCGCCATAAAATAAAATGACTATGTGAAGTAACCCTGATCAGCAGGAAACGCGCAATATTACTCATTCATTTGTAGCTGAAACCAAGAAAACGCCACAGTGAGTTAGGTGCATAACTTGCAATCGATGACATTAATGGTTCCATATTGGTGGGACAAGTGCAGGTTTTTTTGATTGTTCGTACTCACGATCACAATTTTTTGATGCTGCGCCAGGAGTGAAATAATCGAACGCGCATAGTTTATTTTACAATAATGCTAAGTTTCCTTGACAAGCATAAAAAATAAACAGTTAGGTACATAGGAACACTGCGGAAAATACGGATCCACAGCTTTGCGTGCCAACTAATTATTATAACTCGCTTTATTATAAGCACTTTCTTGAAGGATCTTTCTCATAAAGTAGATGCCTCTTTAATTCAGCTGGGGAGTGCGTCCTTTTTGAGGAACAATGATTTGTGTTAACGAAGTTTAGTTGATGATTTTTGCGTCAAACGAAATGCAGAGCTGCATCACGTTGCTGGATCCAAAGAGGTACGGTAATTGTGGTTTGTACCTGATATTTCAGCACTTCTGTAATAAAGAAGAGGACCTGTAAGTGTGTATCAAGGTATGTGTCAGCTGACCGGAATTCAGATATTGCTGCACATAAACTACAGGTATGTGGTCATCGGAACAAAAGTACTTTTATCTTCTGTTCCAAAAACGGTGAGTGCGGCAAATATGTTTCTTTTAAAGGGTAGTTTATATATAAACAGGGCTCTGTGTACAGTACTTACATGACAATGATTTTTATGTATGTATATGGTTTTATGAGCGAATATTCTACTTGCTTCTAGCACGACATCATTGACATAACTTCGTCCCAATTTGTGAGGTAAGACTTGCAAATATTGTGCCGCAGTTTCCGCGAAACTTAGTTTTTTTAAGCCACATTCAGTACTGCTGGACTTGGTCGCATTTTTTGTCATTGTTAGCTCCCTCGGTAGCCTCACATATTCTAGAGTATTATGGCCAACATATATAACGAGCTAGTTTACCAACTGGGTTTAGAAGGCAATTGCCAACATGGTGTTATAACGTAATTTTTGTGTCCCGATATGTGCGTATATCTCGGATACACAATGATATTGTAAATGGTATGCATTTGACGCTTATAGTTGCTGCATCATCTCTAATATTTTACCTCCACGTACGTTTTTATAGGTAGTTTAAATGGCTATTAAATTGTGAAACGCAAGTTTTTTATAAAACTCGTATGCAATCGGCTCTCAGTCTCTCCTGTCAGGATTCATTATCAAATGTGGAGACGTGAAATTCATCTAACTGATGCCATTGTTTTATTTACATTATATTGCGCTAAAGATTATAGACCTGAGCACCTCAAGAAGTGCTTAATAATTGTTGGGAACTTTTGCTGACGGAACTGCGACGGAATAACAAATATCCACATATTGCTTAAGCATTTCTTGACGATCGTAAATTACCTGAGCTTTCAATTGTATTTTTTTCTTATGTGAATCCGCCGAATTCTGGAGGACTGTTATAACGGGTGTATGGTTATATGTTCATTTGCTTACGCTAACAATCTTGCTACTGGCTTGACGGCTTCTTGACATCACTGAAGTCATTCATGAATTTTTGATACTCATATTTTTGTGTATTTAAATTAAGAATATTATGTTAAATATCTTTATAGCGAGAGTGATACTTTGTATATTAGCGTTGGGGGCAGCACCTATTTTCCCTGCAGATGTTAATGACTGACTGAAATAAGCTCTCCATTGATTTTTTTGTTATCTTATGCAACAGTTTTTCTGATCTGTTGAATTGCATTGACTCTTCCATGTATTTTCAATTGTATCGTAGTGCGTTGAGACGTACGGTGCATATGCCTGTTTTGTATTACTACAGGATTTAATTAGTCAAATGTAATAACGAGATACTTTGCCGAGCATTATATATTTTTTTCAGGACGTCCACGTTCAAATTTGAATGGACAATACTTACGTGTGGATACATGGATTTATGGTCTTGATATGTGTTCTGCGTAGGCTGAGCGTCTGTGTCATTTCTTATCTGACACTTGTCAACTTGGGTCTATTATTTTTGGCGTTAGGAGACTTGAATGGTTTTCTTGAATCACATTTTCGTTTTTTGCGCATTTGCGTGAAACCGATCAATAAATAGACTTAAGTCTGCAATAAGATGACAATCTAATATAATCGCTGAGGTTTTATGTTTACTTTTTGATGGATGAAGTTTTGAAAATTTGACACAGTGCTCTTGATAGCTCTAATTGATCAAATTTTTGTTCAACTACCTGAAAAATTTTTCCAGAAACGTACTTGTTGAGTTTATGATTATAATTTTAATAGTGGTGAGTCCTCTTCTTCAGTGATACGTAAGTCATGTCCTCGGTCTCCTATTATCGGTAAGGTGATATAACTGGACTGGACTGCCTTCATATACTGAGGCTGCAGGCAAAACCCCTGCAATTGGGCTTTATTATAGTTACTGTCGTGATGCTAGTCTACAACGCCTATGAATTGGTGCCAATTTTTTGCGTACTGTACACAACCCTGGTGTAGGCGTGTTCATTTGAACGGTATTATTCTGATGACCTCTTGGGTGGAATAGGATTTTGTTGTGTGATGGAGGAAGCTCCAAATGAATATAACGCCAAAAAGGCCAATATTGAATTATTCCCTGAATAATCGCACTCCGTGTATCATTCGTCTGCAGGTCTACACGAGCATAATCTTGATGTCGAGAAGGATGTTGATGAGGTATGTATGACTGGAGCAGCAGAGTCCTGCATACTAATTTGACGCATCTCGAGTTCCGCAGACGAGTGATCAACTGCTGGCTCTGAATAGCCCTGCTTCTCTTGGTAAACCTCTCATTGACGGGTGATATTTCTGATGTGTTGCGACAGACCAATGTATACCCGTCGGCTCAGAAGCGTAAAATGCGAGGTTTTGCTGGCTTCAAACGTCGAGCTGTTGTAATATGTCCTTCCGATGAGGACCTCAAGCAGCGCACTCTGAAGCGTGAGAAGGAAGAGGGCAAGGATGTTCCTGATAGTGCAGTGCTAGAGATGAAAGGTAGGTTGTTAGCAGCTAGATTATTCACTTATCGCTGTTCATTAGGCTTCCTCTTGGGAACGCATTATCCTTCTTAACCCTATCGTCTCTTAGTGAAACTCATCTCACTTTCCTTCCACGCAAGTCATCTCTTCCATCACACTTTCATGGTTTTTTGGAGCTTTATGTTGATCACAAATCGCCTTTGTTTCATTCAACTGTTAATGTCATTCAACTTAAACGCATCATCTGTTCTGAGTTTTGATGAACTAATAGTTTCAGAAAATTGCTTTTACTTCCTCCCTATCTTAACATAGTTCACAGAACATTGCTCCTTTCATTTTTCAGCACACTTTTTTCAATAAAAAGTTAGTGGCGATGTGATCAATGTAAAGAACGCCTATTTACATAGAAATTCCAACAATATAGTAATAATTTTGTGTATGTGTGCAGCCAACTTCAAGTTGCCGGAAGTCGGAGAATTCTTCGACTCTGTTGAGTTTGTGGAGCTGTCAGGCGATGAGGCTCAGGCCCTCATAGAGACCTACAACAAAGAAGGCCAGGCTGCCTGCCCCAACAAGGCCAACAACCGCAGTGACGGGGGAGGATATCGCCGAGACTACAATGACCGCCGTGGTGAGCTTTGCGTCGAGATGAACTAAAAGTGATCACTATCCTCTGCGTCGTGTGACGTCACATTAAGCCTAGATGGCTTATATCGAGTTCAGTACTAGTAGACCTTGTGCATTATTGTCCCATAATTCATGCATGATATGCCGTATCATTCTAAAATTTAAATTTTATTCAACCCACAACTGGGCGCATATGATAGCTACTTTTTAGTTTAAAATGGTTTTTGTATGGTAAAAAGCTCACTGAGAGATTGAATTGCTTGAATTTCAACTATCTGAATTTAAATTTTTTCGGAGATGCAGACAACTACCGCAGTGGCAGCTACAACAGCGGTGGTGGCAGCTACAACTATCGTGGGGGTTGGGACCGTGACCGTGATCGTCGTGGTGGTTACGATCGCAGAGAACGAGGGGGTGGGGGTTGGAACCGTAACGGCCGAGACATAACCAGCCGCCTCGGTACCGGAGGAGGTTACAATCGTGACAACCGCTCTGGATCCGGTGGATACAACCGTGATAATCGCGGTAGTTATAACACCCGTGGTGGATACCGTGACAACCGTGGGGGCCGCAGCTACCAGAGTGGTGGAAGTTACAAGGGCTCGGTGAGGATTTGTTATTTTCTCAGAGATTCCGGAAATTTCTTGCCTAAGTGTCAGTTGTAAGATTGTGGACTAGAAATTTAGATGTACGTGCTAACATTATTCCTGTAGAATTATGGTTAATTACTACAAAATAATTTAGTGTAACTGGTGTTTGAATGCATTTTATTTCCTTTATTTGCGTTGTACCGATATACATGTTCGATGACTTCAATCTTTTTTTTTCTTTTCAATCTAGTGTACTGACTGTTTTAGTCTCTTTTCCTCAAGTTCCTCCCGGTGGCATTTCAACCGCATGCTTGTTGCTGGCCGGAAGTGTTTATGGCCTCATTATTTGCCAGATTTAATAAAAAATCTAGAGCAATTTCATTAATCTGCAGGACACAAGCTATCAAGCCGGAGGCTGGAGTCAGAGTTCTCAGTACGGTCAGAGTTACGGTAGCTACCCTCAACAAAGCACAACTTACGGTGGCCAAAGTTACGGCTCAACAGCAGCCGCCGCCACTCCGAGCTACGGTCAGAGCAGTTACGGCTGGAACCAGCAACCTCAGCAGTACTACAGCCAGCCCGCTGCAGGCGCTCAGTCGTACTACTCTCAGGTGAGCCATCTTATATTTTAATTGCTAGTTCTCGTAACGTGTTTTTTGTACAACCATTGAGTTGACCATTTGCTTATCTCCAATTTCTAAGTATCAGTTTGCCCACTCTGCAATCGTTGCCTTGTTACCATGAAAATTTATTATTATGCGCTATTATGGAAGCATTGTACAAACATAATTGTTCTATTATCACCGATACCGTCATCGCAGGGCTACCGAAGCGACACGAGTACTGCAGCTTCGGCCAGCGCTTGGGGCTCCTCAGGTACTGCAGCGAGCGCGTGGGCTCAACCTGCTAGCTCTTGGGGACACGCGGCTTCTGCGCCCACCGCCGCTTCGGCCACGCCATCTGCCGCAGCTCAGGGCGCGTGGGGCACCGCCAGCTACTCACAACCAGCGGCACAGCAGACATGGAGCCAGCAGAGCTACGGCAGCTACTATGGCAGGAAGTAGAATCTACTGTACATCACCGACTGAAGCACGAACGAAGCATCAACTGCCGAGTTCACGACAAGTTGATGATGCTGCAGCAAGTGTCGATTTTGCCTTTGTCAGTCATGCAAGCGATGGATTTCTGAACTTCAAAATGAAGTTGTGTCAGTGCTACACCAGACCTCTGCTCAAATGACGAAATGGCTTTTTATGTATAAGTTCTCTCGGGTATGACCCTTTATATCCCACACCAAATTTATGCTCTAAATATCAATTACATCATGCAGTTGATAAATGATGAAATATGTTCACAAAGTTGAATACCTCCACTTGATGTATAGGCTGTCTTTTTTTTCTTATTTTGATGTGTGTTTCACGGAAGAAGATAATTACGGATTCGATTAATTAGTTTCCATCTCTCAATATGAATTGTATTTGAAATTTTCAAGACTTCTATGGGTCCATACTTGTCAGAACGAATTCACTGGATATCTAATCTTGTGATTTCAAACACAAATGTATTCTCAATGGCGAGCATAAGGTGGAATAGCAGTCTTTTCTTCGTCAGAAAGATTTTTTTTTTTTCTTTTGTCAGAAATGTTACGAGTTCAAATTGGATGATTTTCTATTTCTGTGAGCTAGTTGATTTGGTTGATTATTGTTTATAACTAATTATATGACTCGTTTTAAACCAATACACTACCACATTCTCATTGTTATATTTACACATGTCTTCTTCATTTTTCAACGTTTAACTTGGAAATTCTTTGGCATACCGTTCCTTATACTACGGTTATTCAGCTCAGTTGGTCGAGCTTTTAATTTGTCGCTCTTTAAATGAATTTTGATAACTCAAACGTACCTGGCTAATTGGAAATGTTGCTCAAATCATACTTGATTCTGCCCGTTGGATAGTGTCGGGAGTTTCATTCATTGTGCAACAGTTTATGACTAGACTCCTTGTGTTGAGGAAATAACGAAGAGCGAGTGCTGCTGTACAATTATTCTACGAGTGCAAATTAGCTAAATATCAATTTACCTTAAAGATGACTGTTTGGCGTTTAGTTTTCGGTTGATTGTAATGAATACATTTTGTTGATTTCGTAGTTAGTTCTTGTGTAACTAAACGCTATATTACTGACAACAATTTGCAATTAGGCTATAGGCCGTTTGTAATCCTACAGATGCTTCACTCGAACATAATAAATATGTACTATAATAACTTTTATTATTATCGTTTGGTAAGACGTGATGTTGTATGCATCAAACAGCAGGTTAGCACTCCCCTATTCAAGCAATCAATGATCATCCTAATTAACATGAAAATTGGGTCTAGTTGCCGGTATCATGTTCTTGCAAGAGTGTCTTAGAGAACTCCCTTGGTATTAAAGATACCTCAACATGGTATCATCGTATTTTACCTGCTTCTTCGTCAGTGCCAGCTAATGCATTGTAACGATATATGTTGTTCGCACATTCATGAATATTTCCTAAATTATGAAGAGAATTTCTTTCATTTCAGTCAATGTTTCCTAGCTGTGGAATACTTCAGCCTACCAAGTTACGCTACTCAAAAAAAAAAAACTTTTCGAGCAGCGTCTGGTTGGCTCTCGCATTTTATAAAAATAAATTGTAAAACATAAATAGTTGGGTCAGCCAATGAGGCGTGAAATTCAGATGCAAACGTGTAATCAGCCGCGCTATAAGCAGTGGTGCAATTCGCACCGGAACCGGAAAAATTTATTTACATCACCAAGGCCAAGGAGAAGTGAAAAGACGATTACGGTTTGACTTTATCATTTACTGTTCTTTGGCCCTTTTTTTCTAATGCACTAGAAAAGTCACTCTTTTCTTCTTAGTACTACTGGTTATATGTTATTCTTTTCTTTGGACCTATGGAGATTAAGACTAAACTCTGGTATACCGTGCGTTAAGTGATTCCAACTTACGGCAAATATGAATTGTCTCTTTTCGACCACATCCTTCAGAAGTAGGATTCTTCGATTTGTTTGTGCTGTTTATTTTCTTGATCCGCAAAAAAAAAAAACAGAATCGCTACTTCCTTCTTGATTTAAATTGTTTGAGGTTGGTCCTCAAACATGAAGGGCTGCGTGTTGCTCTTGGAATTTTTTTATAGATTTCATTGACCATGTCGTTAAATACGCCCCAGTTGCACTCCAATAACTTACTAATACAGTAAAGTCCTTTCCTTCCACACATACGTTACCAATTACTATTTAGTTGTGTACGAATCCGCTTTGAACTGTTGCTTGTGTTACGTTGGCAACATCCTGTTGATACCATGCTAAGACGGAGCTATTCGCTATCTGCTCACTCGAACATATGCTGGTGATTTTAGAGCTTTAGTCCATGTCCATTAACAAAAATGGATGCAGAAAAAGCATCGTTACATCTGTTGATTTGCTGTTCTGCAAATTTCCACGTTATGTGCGTCTCGCGACTTCCTAATTCATGCGTTTTTATAGTTTGAAAAAAGTTGAAATTGTTGTTTAATTACGAGTCAACGCAGAATAAGATAATATTTTAACTCTTCGTCCTCCATTTTGGCTTCACAAAGTTAGCTCTTTCGTTGAAGTGGAGGACGAATTTCGTCATAAGAATATTCAATTGTGAAAAATAAGAGGTTTCCACAACTAGAAACGATTCAGTTTGTAACGTATTTGCTTAGAAATGATATAGCAAGAAAATGTGAAAATTACTGTAATTTTGCAAGTTTCTTGCAACGGAAACTTGAATCATTTGCGTCATTGCGCCATCCTGCAGCAGATTGTAAGAGTGGCACAGGAAACTAAACGAACCCAGTTATCTAGAGCTGCCTCAGCTGCACGTAACGCCTTCACAGCTCGTCAAGCACTCCTTAAGAACCCGTCAACTAATTCTCCAATCATACAACATTGAGACCATGATTTGTTGCAACAACTGGAACTTACAATTGCAATGGATTTGCCTCCATGTTCACGACTCGGCTTGTTGAAATTCTCATCTACTTAACGCGTTCATACTGAAACCAACCGCTGCCGTCTATGTGGTAAAAAGAGGATTACATTTTTATTTCAGTACCAAATACGATCTCTTCAGGACGTCATTACGCGAGCTTTAAATAACTTTCATTACACAGGAGACTAAATTACTGAAAGCTAAATTGGCGTGCTACAAAGTGGACTGCAGCATCAAACTAGTGTCAGCTTACTGGACTTCTACTCTTCCGTGCGAACGTTACATTACTCACGATAAACTTCTCAGATCTTGTGATAAAAATATTTTGGTTTGATGAAAAATATGAAATGAAAATGTTACCTATCGCCATTTTAGTTCTTTTAGTTATTTTATTCTCTGACCAAATTGACTCCGAAGAGGATTTCAGCCTCAACAACCTAGACAGTTGCAAAATTCCAGAGGAATCAATGAATCAAAAATCTGTTATGATTTGCCTCAACGCTTGCAAGGCTACAAATTTGAAAGTAGCCGCAGTTTTCGAAGTAGATGGAGCATATCAATACGTAAATAACGAAATTATTCCAGTGCCGACCGCGCAGAGTGAAGGCTTGCTGTGGCTAGAACTATCGATAATTACGTCGGAAAATTCTGCGAACAGCACCGTCAAGGGTTCTAGCTTCGCTTCCACAAATTTCACAGAAATAATTGATAACGCATCGATTTTCAAGAACTGGGTGATTCGCGATCAGGACAGACAAACAAACATTCCATTCTTTGTAATTAATTCAACTGAACAATGTCAACGGACAACAACAACAATGCCCCCAAAACTTCAATACACAACCAAGGGCGCGCCGGAGATCGGTTAGTGACTAGAGCAGTTCGTTTGAGTGGTTGGATTATGTGTCACGTTTATATGAGGTTTGAAGTTTTATGAGTAATTTAGGCGTTTAAGCGATGCAAATGTCTGTTACAGCACACGGCTGACTTGATAAAACGACCATATGAGAACAGTTCATATTTGTAGAGATCTGCTGACTCATACTGTGGATATGAGTTATTCCGGTGATAATGCACAAAATTTCGAATGTGATAAATTTGTAGCGAAATTTCTGTAAATAACACCATTGCGATAAGGAAATTATTCTTACTAGGTCAATGTGATTGTCGTGATCTGGCTTCATATTATTAAATGATTATTCTATGAATTCGAAGGTTGAGTTTACAACTTCAACTTGATATGCTTCACAGCTGGTGAAGTCGCTGATCCCACACCAAGCATAAGCTCGTCATCATCTTCACTTTATGATCAACGCTTCATGGTCGCAGGTGTCGCAGTCGGCGTCGTCTTGTTTGGGGTGGTCTTCGTGGCGGTCGGCGCATTGTTCTATAAAAGACGCATCAAAGCGCGAGGTATCTTGAATTATGTAAAATTTAGATTTTTGTAATTGTGTTATACTGGAGTTTACTGACTTAAGTGGAATTTAAAATGTTTCATTAGAGCAATTTGAGATCAGATTGTTCTCAGTTAAAAAAAATTCAGTGCAACTCTGCTGAATTGTAAAAACAACAACAAATGATCCCCAAAAAGTTTGCTGGATTTCGTATACCATTAAACTATTTTTCCAGGAAACGCTCGGCCTAACAATCACTCAAAGGACGCCGTTGTTGGCAATTCAAATGATGGTTTCAAGGCAGCGATCATCCGCCGCGAGAGCATCAACAGCCTCTACCAGACGTCGGAGCCTGTGAAGCCGCTCGAGCGGCACGTTAGTATCAACAGTCTCTACCAACCTCAAGTTGATGTTGACGCCAGCTCCTCTGCAGCGACCAGATATAACTCAAACTTTGGCTTAAACGCTATGGGTCGGTATCCTGTGAATCACTGCAGTGTGAACAGCCTTTACCAAAAATCTGAGTATGAACAAGGATATGGAAATCACGAGAGTGTGAATAGTCTGTACCACAGCGGAAATGGCGGGTACGTGAGAACGAGCTCGACGATGAACGATCCCACGAAAGTTGCATGTAGGCTGGGAATTGGCAACAGTCACGCAAGTGAAAACAACCTGCATTCAAGTTTTCAAGAGTCCAATGAAGAGTCTCCTTACTGTAACTAGAGCTCTAGATATTTATCAGAATTGATAAATACGATAATGGAGTCCATCAGTCTACGTTGTCTCAGCGTCCATTTAAAACACTTTACAGCAATGGCTCTCCATCTCGAAAGAAAAATTCGATACTCTGTGAATACTAGGAACAAATAATAAAATGTAGGTTACATAATTAAGGGTATGTACGTAAATTCCTCATTTTGTGGCAAAGTTATTTCGAGAGCTGTATTGATAGAAAGTTCTCATCTGCATAGGTCTATAAATTTTAGCAAAGCAAATGGTTCCCTTTTCCTGTTTGTTCTAGTGGTTCATTTTCTGAGACGTTCTTCATTGTTTCCTTCTCATTTTTAATTAATGTGATGTTTAATTTAAATTTTAAACGTGCGAGTATCTCATATAAAGAGAAAATGCAGGAAATTTATTATAAATAAACTAGGATTCCGGCTATCGAACCTAACATCTGAGTGTACATTTACTGCCGTTAATATTTAAGTCTATTCTGCTTCTTCTCTTCATCTTTCTCATAGCTTTCGCAGTTCTATAAAAGCCTTTCTTAATTTCCTTCGTTAAGTTTACAGACAGAAGAAACAGTAAGCACTTTGTACGCATTGTGTGCGGGTTTAAAATATCGTATGTAGGCCTCATTAAAATATTCAAAGGCATTCAATTGTAATGAATCATTTTGCTGGATTTGTACCGGGCATCAATTACAATTATAACTGTATGTTTATACTGCATATTTTATTTAAAACATTATATGTTAAAAATCCGATGCCTGACATTTACTGGTGGTGTTGCGGAGACCCTCAAGTATTAATGATGCATTAAAAACGTGAAACTTGATAATAAGCAAAATGAAATTCAGACTCTAGCTCGCGCCATGTACCATAACAAAGCCCAAGAAAGTTTTTCGTAACTAAAGGATCGAATTAAGTTCAAACTGAGTCCCCGCTTCACAGTCAGCGAACGTTGCTTAGCAGTTCCATGGCACCAGCTTGCCGCTTGCCTAGAAATCTGGAATGTCAGTAGCTCTGTTGCCGGCATGGAGGTTGTGTGTGTGGTGAGTAACGCGAATTGTAGACAACATATACTGGTCATAATATAACTTGTGGTTGATGCGTGATAATACAATGAAACGAATTTAATGGTGCAACGAATCGAAATATAAAGAAATGTTTAGGTATTGTGAAATAAGATTTTACATGATTCCGAATACTGTACAAAAATATTGTAATCAACATATACTTCAGTAAGCTAGAACCAATGGTGTTTATATCATTTGAAAACATTCAAAGACGTAAATTTGCTCTTTGCATCACCAACCAGAGTGCAAGTGGGAAAAGATTAGACTTTCGTCATTCCCTATAGGATGGACGCTGTTCCTCATATACCCTCTGCAGCAAAAGGGAAATTAAAATTAAGAACTGATTTGGATTACCGGCAAATATTAATGTCGTTTGGGCAACTAGAATTTACTAGGAAGTACACCAAACCTGTCTGTGCAGCAACCTGACAAGATAAACTTAGCACTCGACATAACATTTTAGATTTTTCATGCCCTCGTGTAGCAAAGCCCTGAAGTCAAAGCAAAGAGTCGCGTCAGCTGATGCTTTGTTTACGTGCACTAATGGAGGTAAAATTATTAAACTAACTTGTTTCTGTTTCTTGGGCCTTCATGCGACCTTGTGGACCAATCCCGTATTGCGACAATTTTGGGAATATATATTTTTTAATTATGTTCCATTCCTGCTCGAATTTGATACAATTTATCCTGTGTTATTCAGAGCAATGGTCAGTAGGCATGCAGCATCTCGACGTTGTGTGTTAAAGTTAATGTTTATCTGGTCGATTTATTTTACCTGGACATGGGATGCCAGCAGCCTTACGCTCTCCCCTCGCGGCATAGATTTCTTGCGTGCCAAACTGGTTTTGGATTCTTTACGCATGAAGTCTTGTGGGACAACCCTCTTCAAACAGGCAAATGACGTGGAAACAACGTTCAATTAACGTTAATTTAACTAAATAACGTACAATTAAAGTTCATTCGACAAAACAACGTTTGATTTATGTTCATTCAACAAAAAGATGTTTAATTTATCGTTTATTATTCGTCAGACATATTTTGAATGACTCATCAGTCAATGTTTTTTAGAAAACTTTTTAAGAGAAAAGTTCATTTATTTCTCTTTCATTGCTCATGAACGACGAGGCATTAAAAGCCATGAATTTACATAAGATATAACCAATATTAACCATATATGCATTAGCTGCCTCAGCTGATGTGCACCGTATCACAGAACAAGATAAGCACAGCACAGCACATGCTACGTCTGACATAAGTTACCCGTCTTGCTTTCGAAGTGTAGATGGCAAGATTTTTATGATGGCGGAGAAAAGTTTGGTGTTGTCCGGGCAATTAATTCGTGGGCGAACTTCTTCGAAGGGCTTCACTGAAAACTTGATTATTAATAGAGGCTTGTATTCAATTGTTGAGCATTTTTCGATCATATTATGATCCATGCTGTTCCACCCCGTGAAAGTACGTGACTGTCCTTCGAAACCTAACTAAGATTCCTATAGCCTAATATTTTTACGTTGATCAATCGGAGGGATTACTCTTCTTCAGTTTTACGTTACGTTACTGTTCCAGATTCAACTGGACCAAGAATTTTTTTATTAATATTCAATCTAAAACAAATATAAATTGAACAAAAAGGATGATAAAATACACAAGTTAAACAAACCTAACATGATTTAACAATCCTAACCGTGCGCTTCAACCTGAAACGATCATGAATTAAGATGGTCAATACTAGTCATGGTAATATCAAAGGTAAACTAATATGACAAAACAAACACCCTAACATCTAAAACAGTACAAATAAATTATAGATACATGAATATAGATAGAATTAAACCTATTTTTCCTGCAACATCGTCCGCACACAACTATCACAATTTACACCTTGTGATGCGATAAGTGAATAGTAGTAATAGAGCTGGAAAATTTTAAAACCTAGTAAAATTTTGAAAAGAGTATAAGTGAGATTACATTTTTACGGTAAAAGAAAGTTGAATATGCATAGGACTGCAACGTGAACTTACACACGGTCCGCATCATATTTTTTTTTTTCGGCCACCATTCCGCGGGGTGAGCAAGGGGTTCGATTCCGCCGATCCGTTAACATTTTTATTAAGCCATTAAGTTTAGACCGCACAGAGTATACGTTCTTGGTTACTTGTGACCTGAAGCGATGCTTGCGAGCTGTACATTGGAGCAGCGTGTTTAATCCTACAAATTAAATAAAATCAAAATTTCATTATACAATTACGATATGCACGCTTGATATTTTATTCTAATTTCTTTTGATTTCGGCGGATTTATATAGGTACGAATGACTCTATTGTGCGCATAGATATTATCGTTTAAATAATAATAATAACAGGAAACTAAAATAACGGTGTTATGAACACGTGCCAAGTGTGAAACCTACTAAACAACCGCTTCTTTCTATCTTTTAATCGACGCTTTTTCATATCGATCGATTAACGCTGCTTCCTTGGATTGCCTCTACACTTAAGAACGATCTAAACACCGACGACGGGAATGGAAGCTTTCTTCACTGCGTGATCGTTCGCGGTCACGATCGAGTTTCTGTGCCACCTGGACTCGCCACTCTTCCAGAAGAGAGTGATTCATTTTTGAACATCTGAGGGACTTTACAGTGAAACGCGTCAATGTTAGTTAGCACGAAGAATCTTCGCGTCGAGTGTGTGGTTAAAAAGATTTCATAGAACAGATCTTCACCTACTTTTTGAAATTGCATTAACGCGGTGAGCTTTTTAACTTTTCATCCGCTGGTCGTATTTTGTGACGGATAATATGATGAGAAATTAAATAATTTAAGTGCAACCTTGCTCGAACAAAAAAAAATGATATTAATAATAAGGAAATTAGCAATGCCAGTTTTTGTTGTTGAATGCAAGTCATGCTTGATAACTCGGTTCAGCGACTTGGGGAAGCTGTAGGTCTTAGGTTATTTGAAATTGAGAAAAAGACCCCAATAACCATGCCCAGCGCCTAGTTTTTCTTTCCAAAACTGCTGATGAGCTTGCACTTTGTAGAGTCACTGGTTCAACTTTATACGGAAGTTTGGCGTTGAAAGCGAAGGTGAACCTTCGCTGAGAAAAGGCAAGTGATAAATGTTGGTTTGCGAATATATTGAGGCAATTACGCTTGCACGCTTGAGGAATGAAGGACACATATAATTGATGGCATGTGAACGGAACAAACAGAGCAGCTTGCATGCAGCGATCCTGAACGCAGATTTATGACAAAGAGCTTCAGTGAGAGTGAACTTTCAATCTCGATTATTAATTAAGAGCGTGCGTACGTGCGGTGCTGGAGCACATGCATGTGGTGTGCTCGTACTCACTATGCAGCACGACAGGAAAACCCTGCGGCTTTCTACGCCTTTTCTCTGCTCCTGAATATCATGCACTCAGTCTTTTGATATTAATGCTGACATACAATGTGCTGACATCTTGTAACTTCTTGTTATGGGCTCAGCAATATAAAAATGAAAACATATATTATTCGAGCAATGAAGTGCCTGATATTTAACGCAAAAACAATATTCTTTGCGTTCCGTCTGCAATCGTTGCCAGCTAAATTTTTTTAATATTATTGCAGTTTGTCCATCTCAAAGATCATAAAACCGAACAGATCATCGAACCGAAACGAAGAATTCATTTTTCCCAACGGCTGCGTAAAAGTTGAACTCTATCATTTCAGAAATCCAATAACGTCATACCGTAGCTAATAAGCAATATAAGTCCACAAATGCCTTGCGACAGTGCAAGAAATAGCTCATAAGATAGCGTGCAAACCAATGGAGGTCACGCTAATATATGTCTCGTACCATGCATAAATTTCCAGTGAAAATTCTTCTATTTTCAGAGAACGTATGATTTTAATTATACCTCGAGGGGAGTTCCATGTTTTCACATTCACGCGAAGAATTCGATTAAAAACTGGATACACTTTGAGTATCTGCTTTCCTTTGAGTGGAAAGTAAACAAAAGTACCGTGAAGTAAAAGTAAGGGAGGGAGAGATAGACCGGAATCTCATGGTTCATGACATGGCAAGTCTCAAAACCTGAAACATTTACAATTTTTAACTGTTATCCTTAATTTAAGAAGCTATGTCATAATAAATGTTTTTTCGTATCCTGTACTTCGAGTCATGCTGGAATATATTCTTAAGATGTTCCGTGTACACGAACGGATACCGCATTGAATTTTTTTTTTCACCAAAAATAAAATGACCTATACGCCGCCAGCGTTGAAAGGATGTAGCCCACTTTTTCTTAAACGAAAAAATTTACTTGAACAATTACAATATATACAGTAGGCTTAATTTGACGTAAAATCGTACCCATATCTAGAGCTAAGAATAACTTTCACACTCCATTTTTCTTGCGAATGTTGGCGTCGTTCACAAAGAGACGGGCATTTTTTTCTTTCCTATGCACAAGAGTGAAGTGAGAGAGAGAGAGCTTACTGTAAATATCAAGCTACCAGTAAAAATTTTATGATCAGTCCGAGACTGCATGCGAGATAGAGAGTTGTCTTCGACGGCAATAAAGTCGATCAATTCATTGAATCTTGGAGGAACTTGTCAGCTGATGATGGATTTCATGGAATAAAATAACTCTGTGTTTAAGCCCCTTTCTGGTATTATTATCCCAACTGAAGCAGTACAAAATATAGAAACTAAAGCAGCTATTATATATAATTATAATCATTTTTCATTATCGCATTTCACATCATTATGTAAGCAGATGGGCATGCATGACCCTGAGGCACACATATTGCTAAAACAGGTTTTTGCGTCGAGGAAGCATTGTTTGAGCTCGCCATAATGGCTCACACGTTCTTAGTTTTCTAAACTAGTTTTCACTGCAAGCGACATCTTCGTTCAAGATAGAGGACACCTTAACAGGCTAGCAATATCGCTGTAACTATTCTATAATTTGATCTAGATTTGCCGGAAAGCGAATTGGATCGGTCTCTGCGAGTATCTTAGATAATGATTGATACATGTGCTTAATCTGTAATGATCCTGCAAATGTATTTGTATTTATTGATGATTTTACAGTTCAGTTGATAATGCTTTGATACAGTACAGTTGATATGAAAACTTTAATATCAATCATATGGGAACTTTAAACCCATAACAAGTACATTAAGAATATTCTGATCTGAAGTTGAAACTAGTATCTGATTGCAGGTGGCGATTTTTTTGGCAGCGGTGGCGACCGCAAGCGGGTCGGGAATCCGGCCAGAAGGAATGGTTCCAAGTCGAGGGATCCCCCTCACACATGCAGATCTGCCAAACAAGTTCGAGGGACCAGCTCGTCGAACGCTTGAAACTTCGCTTGTAAAACTTCGACCAGAATTTGTTACGAGAGATTATGAAAAAGGAAACTCAATTGCCGCCCAACTCAATGGAAACACGAAATTGGATTTTGCGCTTCTGCCTAGAGTGAAAAAGACACTTACGTCCGATGATTTGTACAAAAACTATAAAATACATCAAGCCCAATCATTTACAACACGCTTACAAAGTCAAGAGCAATCGAAATCAAAAACTCATCTCCTGAATAGAGCTCTACCGACTGGGCGTCCAGCTGTTCAATTTAAAAATGAAAATAAGCCAAAAATCACAGTTAAATCTGTAATAAAACACGACCTGCACATGCCTGATACGGCAGGAACCCCAAATGAGCAGCTAAAACGAATAATACCAAATTTCAAACCATCACAAATGATCCGAAAAGGTGTATTTCCTCCTCAAGGTTTCCTTCCTTTTCATCCTTCAGCTGGAGACAATAACAGCTCAGGGAATTTAATGCTAGTAATGCCTTCAAAACAGTTGAAGCTTACGAAACTTCCATACAGCGCTAATGAATTGGGTGGTAAAATGAATCAAATCCCTGAAAATCACGATATGAATAGTTTAAGAACTGTAATCGGGGATTTATTTCTTGGAAGAAATCAACCTAATCTCAAACTGCCTACAGAAGAAATCACAAGCATACCTCGACAATTTACAATAAGCTCAACAATCTCAAAAGATTCAAACTTAAGGAAAGGTTTGCAGGTTCCCTTAGAACTCATTGATCCCAGTACGGATCCCACTGAACGTAAATCTTCATCACTTGGACATTTTTTGGAAAGAGATACTGCCGATTCAATTTCCCATATGTCACATTATTCTGATGGTCAAAAAATTATTAAAGAATCAGAAAAAAATGAAACTGTTGTTAAAATTGAATTGTTGAATTCAAGCTCTGTATTGGAATCTAATTGGAAAGGTATTGATCTCGGCGATGTGATTAAATGGGCATCGAATGATTACGAACTATCAAAACCAGAAAAAGTGGAATCTTCCCAGATCTCTGACAATTTTGCAACGACAGAGACGTCGCCAAAGGTACTTAATGAAGACACGAAAATTTTTAAAACCATCACAAGCCAAAAGTTTTCAAATCTTGATGCAGGTAGAACGCTCCAAGCACCCGGTGAAAACAAAAACTTTATGAAATTGCCTACGTCAGCAGATAAGCTATTGTATGAGCGTGTCAATAACGAGCAGAATAATAAAGTGTTACATCAGCTTCATTCCATCCAGCTGCACACGGATCTGGAAGCATCAGGGCTTCATCGCAGACCATCGAGCGACCAAATTCAACAAAGAACGCTAGCTGGGCCCAATGATATCTATTTTGCAGACATGTTTCAGCAGTCATCTCAACGACCTCAGCTAGTAATTTTACCGCTTAAGGGTGAGCGATTAAGCCCGCCCGCCGATGAGTCAAATATTCAATTTGTCCAGAAAAATTTGATTGAAAATGGCAGTGTTTTCAAGGGCTCTTTAAGTTCCAGAGTAATTACATCGGATAGTCCACGAGGAGTGGTGGGTGGAATTCGGGATCTCACAAGATTCGGGAATTTGAACGAACTAAGCGAGTCTCAGAAGATTTCACTACTTCAAACTCTGCACAGAAATTTGGATGAACAAGCAGGCAAGAAGTCTATCAGAGATGCTCCAGTAGTCGTGCCAACACCACAAAGATTCGAAAATGACCCGATTAAAGCCGATGATGAGCCACAAGAAAATATCATACAACAACTTCCAAGGAAACATTTATTCGGAATTCAGGAAATCATCGGTTACAAACATGTCCCATTGTCATCTAAACCGGGCATCCACACTCACTCCTCGGTTCAGCATGAGACTGAGAGTGGGATTCAATCGGTAAAGTTGGAGCCATCTTGGACATCGCTGTCTTCAGGAAGAAGCCAATTTTCGGAAGTTCAGAAACAGTCACTGACTTCCGAGACTCCCGAAAATATTACACAATTGTCCTACGAGAATGACCCTTTAGCTAATTCTTTGCAGCAGATACCAGGACATTTTCCTGTAAATCAATTACTGAGCAAAGACGTTCATCAGCAGTTATTGGCCAAAGAGCTTAATCATCAATCGGCCAGAGATGTTCAAAATCAACAAGACCTGACATCTCAATCACCTGTACGTTCAAGACCTCATCGAGAAGAACCAAGTCATGGAGCAAACACTCAATTCCTGAAGTTAACGCGTCGCCAGATTCAAAATCCTTTGCCTCAACCTGCATCGCATCAAACGTTGTCGCAACAGTCTGTGGATTTGAAACAACCCGTTCAGAAATCAATTGTTAATCAAGAAAAAAACTCATCGTCAATACAGGAGTCACTTACCAGCAATAAACCCTTGAGGTCAGAAAGGACTACAGGCGAAGATTTACGAATAGTCCAGCTAGACCCCATAAAACTTTCCTCGAGCCGAGGATATTATCCGCGTCTGCCGCTAGAGGCTGCATCCAACGTACCAAACTTGTTGGGCTTACAAGCCGGCAACGACATATTGATGTTCATTGCCGCCATGAACGACCATTCGACAGAAATCAGGTGAGGAATAATATTCTGCACTTTACAATTACTTCGATTTTGGCTCATTCATAATTGTTACGCTGTTTTAAAGTTAGCTTAGCAAATCAATTTTCAGTTGAACAGCGTTGCAAATTATTGTATAATTCTAATCATTGAAAAAGTTCACAGCAAAACAATGATATTACAATGATATTGGCTACAATTAATAGTATTTTATGTGAATAGATGTTAAAATCTGTGAAATGGGTGACAAAATTCTTCGTAACTAACAATCATTCTTCAGTGGTCTCCGGTTAAACATCTATCCGTTGAACATGATTACCCAGCTTAGGACGTTGCATTCAACTTTACGTGCCCAACAAAATATTATCGTAAATACCATTGTTGCTCTATTACTGACGTTGTATTGCAGAGACGGTCAGCGGCATGATGACAACTCGCTTACCGTGACCGGCGCCGCTGTCCGACCAGCCAGAGAGAACCTGCAAGACGCTGTCTCTGCAGCAATTCCCGACGCTAGCCCTCAAGGCTCACTCAATCTGACTCCACAAGATCCAGGAAATGGGCTCACTGAAGTAATTCAAGGACAAGATGAAAACTATCTGCCCCATGTACCATTACAGCGACAAGGGTACATGAACGATCTTCATCAGGTTCTGGATGAACGTTATTCCTCGGCTTTACTTCAATCGAGCATCGGACGTGATTTTCTACTGGCCAACGATCCCAGTGCTCTAATTCAAGAGCAGCCTTCGTCTGGAATTTTAAGCACAGTTGTGGAGCAGACAGACACTGGAGTGATAAAACCAGATATTGTAGAGCAGCTTAATAAATACCGTGAAGCTATTTTGTCAAAAACACAAGAGAACTTCCAGAAAGTCGAGGAAACTATTTCCGAAGAAGCTCCAGTTAGTGATTTGACCCATCAGTATGCTTTGGAACAATCCAACCATTTCAGGGAGCATCTTCTAACTAAAGCACCGGAGAATCCCAGAAAAACGACGGCAAAGAATTTCGGAAAAGTATCCAGTTTGCATATCCCAGCTCTTGTTCCTCGACCCGTTCAAATCAGTCGTCCTGTTGCACAGGAGTCTGTGCCAGTTAGGGGGCCTCGGCTGAAGACTCTTGACACGTCCGGGTTTCAGGAAATGAACGACATCGAAGAAACGCTTCCGGCTCCCAAGCTCGACGGGGCGGTTCACTACGACTCGGAACTTAAGTTTTTCCCAAAAAATGGGTACGATATCTCACATTTCTTTCGTGGTTTTCCTGCCTTTGGTTATTTCCACAAAAAACTCGACTCCAATGTTTAATATACGAGAGCAACTTGAGTAAGAATAGTGGGCTACTTAATGAAGAATATTTCGAACCTGCTTCTCTGCTATGTATTCAGTAAAATGGAACCAAAAGTGTAAAAATCAAAATTCAGTTGCATATTCAATCCACAGTTTCTGTTCTATGATTATCAAAGGTTTTAAGAAATTACTGTTCTCATTAGGCTGTGAAAGGAGCTAAGCTACATGAATGATGCACGAAATTTCCATCACTAATTAAACGGCGTGAAAACGAAAAAAAAACATAATGAATGATGAGGAGCGATATATCCTAGAGTTTTGTTTCATTACATCCAGCATTACGAGATTCCTTATTCTCATCAGTCATCATTAATTGCCAATGAACATAGGCAAAAATTTTGACCAGTCAGGGACTGTAAAAGTTTCTATGTTTCATTGTTAGTGCGGTAAAATTTGAGGCAATGCGATTAATTCTGTCATTTTTCTGTTGTGATGTTGGAAAAATAGTGACAAATTCGATTTTACTACATTCAAACCCATATATTTTGTTTCGAGTCAACGTTGACACATTATTCTGTGAGAACGGTAGGACTATAAAATTCTAAACTTCAGAACATTCCAACAGAGAAAATTCGAATAGTGTAAATAGATCTTCACGTGAAAGGCCGTCTATATTAGCGAAAAAAAAACTTGAAAGAAGAAGAATGTCAATTTAAGCTATCACCTAGAAAAAATATTCTGTTGAACACGATTGTGTTATTTGTTAAGGAATTATTGATGATAAAATTGTTGACGTTTCCACAACCATAAAGTTAAGTAACTACGGGCTATGTGATAATCAATCCGTTCATTACAATATTCAAATTAGAAGAATTTGTCTGTAACCGAATAGATAAATGGTAAGACGTTGTGTTTGAAATCTATGCAATGGAAAATATCGATCTTTCGAAAATAATTTATCCATTCAGATTTATCCAGACGAAAACCACAAGAATTTTAGAAAATATCAATGTTCCCATTATAATTCTTGAATGTCAGTAGATTTCACGGGAAAGTCGACGTTACTCTTATTCGGAGCGCTATATCAAGCCCCAAATTTCATCGCACAAAAACATTAAATCATTTTAATAAATCAAATTGAATGGTAACAAAAAATTATCAGCAAAGCTTTTTTTTCCAACCTGAGAAGAATTCAATTACAGTCATACGTAAACACTTACAATATTTTTACATATTTTAATAATTAGTCATTACATGAGATCATGGGACTATGAGAAATCTACACTGAAAAATTTTTCGAAGCATTCTGGCTTCTGGCCATCAAAGAAGTCAACCACGCGGACAGAACAGGTGATGGTTTATGTTCCTCCAAAGGACACTCACGCAGAACACATTTCTGGAAACCCGGCACCTCCGGCATTGGACCTGAACAAGGAACTTTAGAATTCGCTGCTTGAACCGTGAAATCAATTGATCTTGCATGTTTAGGATGCACGATGTCCCTTAACTGGGAGTTTGACGAGAAGGATGGAGAAGGTAAAGACGGTCTGTTAGGAACACGTCGATTTGAGTCCTGTAAGAGCGATGATCTAGCGACTTGCACATTGGGCAGTGAAACATCTATTTGAGTTCTCAGAGGGTGAGACCCTATGAAACCAGAGGGTCGAAAGTCATCGTTTCTGACATGAGGCTGTCTCCCAGGATCTTCGATAATGATATGATACCAGCGGTGAATTTTTTCCTGGTTTCTGGTCGATATTGGCTCTCGAATTCCATGTTCTGGTTCTCCCCGTTCTAAATGGTAAACTCTTGAATGCCTAGAGAAAGACCCTAGAGCTTTTTTGGAATCGATGCTGAAGGGAACTGGTTGTCCATAAAGGGTTTTGGTATCAGTGATTTGAGGTATAAATGAGAGTTTTTGGTCATGCCGAGGTATCAGCGGCGACTCCTTTGATAACCCTCGCGAACTAGAAGCCGCTGGCTGGCAAGTTACAACCACCTCCAAAAGCCCTGAAAAAACAGAAAGTTTGAAAGAGCGCTAATTTCAGTTTAATTTGCATTTTTAGATTGTCGATCTTAGAAGTTATCTATTAATGGAGGATTTGAAGATATATGGGAGACAATATGAAATTCACTTATTGTGACTGACAGATATATACATAATAGTATTACCTTCTCCGCAAGTGACAGAACATGGCGTCTTCTTCACGTCCCAAAATCCCTCCTCCTGTTCAGCAGCAATCTCTGTGCTAGGAACTACACTGCTAGGCTGCCCAGAGACTAAATAAGAATCTCTAGCTCCAGAAGCTGAATCTAAAGACCTTCCACGCGAGGAAGAGAGTGATCTATTCTGAGCAGTATCTTTCATTGGATCTTGCGAGTGCTTTACTGTATCATCCTGACCGTCGACGCTAAGTAACATTGCCGTTTCTTTGGTTTTCTTCGGCCAGGATCCTTGCGGTGCAGAAACATTTTCAACTGCTTGGAAAGGTGGTTCACTATCATACGGATCAGTGAGCATTACCATAGTTTCAGTATCCCGACGGCCGAAATCTTCTAACAGTTTCCTCCCATCTTCCACTGCTGATTCTTGAGACGTGCTGAATTTTTTATCGGGATGAATTTCGGCAGGAATTTCGGTGGCATTAGAATCATTAGATCGCAATCGCGTCGTCCATCGGTGTTTTGCTATTGCATGTGAAGAGTTGGATGGCGTTACACTGACGTCAATGAAAATCGGATTCGCCAAGTCAATTGTGGAAGAATCGAACTGCAGTTTGGAGTCGTTTCCGTACGTCACTATGAGAATAGATGAATGAATTCATTTTCTCACTTTGTATAATATTGATACTTCCAATTATTATTAAAATCAATTTCAAGTTATTGATTATCGTGAATTTCTCATTTTTTTCTCATTGTCGATTAAAAGTATAAAGAAACAAATGAGACACGTAAACTTTTTGTACGGCATTACATAGCACACGTATTTTCAAAGGAACTTACTGGTATAGTTGAGTTGATCAACGAGCGTCATAAGGAACTGGGAGTCAATGGAGCCCGGTAAGCGATGAGACGTAAGCTTGATGTCCCTTTTCTGCAGGGAACGACGGAGCAAAGCGCCTCCACTTTGAGTGTTTCTCTGCATCAGCGGCTCCTGTAGCGGGTGCTGGTCACGTAGGTGCTGATTTATGAGCTGCTTGTGCATCATAACCTGTGAAAGCAAACACAAATATTTGGTGGGATTTGAGGCTTCTTGGTGTGATGACGAGCTGCTAGTGGAGTTACCATTGTCCCACCCACCGAAATGATTTGTTTGGAAGGCGCTAAATACTGGATTCAGCGTTTGTTTTTATTTGTATTTGTTTGGAAGGCGCTGAATACTGGAAGAAAACTTACAAAGTGAGAGTATCACCGAGGTTTTGACCAATAGCCACCAAGAGTCATGAAAAGGTCACATGCCACAGCGATGAAATTTCGTTAATTTATATTGAAAATAAATCAAATTACCTGCTGTTCTTGGAAAGAGTAAAAAGGAAGTGGCGTTGGCTTGAGTGCGCCAGTGCGTAGCGGCAGCAGAGGCTGGATTTCAACGGCGTCCTCTGCGACGGCCTCCAAGTCCAAGGACCGAGAACGCGGCCCCACGGCGGACACCTCATTAAGTTGCAGAGGAATTCCTTCCACATCGAAATCCTGAGGCAAGGTAAGATTCCCATCTATTTCATTACTCAAGAAATTTAAAAAAAGGGGTTTCAGCCCTTAAGGCCTTAAATCTTGACGAAATGACCACCCAACATAACAAAAACATGCAGATGCGTTCACAGTCATCAAGTAAAAGTAGTTAATGGGCTTGGAAAGTTCTCACCTGAAAACCAAATTGGTTTCCAAAGTTAATATTTAGGCAGCTATGAATTCCAGGCGTGCCGAATAAATTTTGGACTCTGGTGTGAATTTAAATTAAGTTGTTACAAAATATTCGTCTCCTGTATTCTGTTGCTGCGCAGTCTGGGAATAAGAATGCAAAATCAATAGCGCAAAAATATATTCGTCTGATCATATCACAATAAAATTTTCATTTCTAAAATAATCTTACCAGGCATTTGCCATTAAGGCAATGTTTAGGCCGGCCAGTCTGCCCCCCGGAGCAGTCTGTGCCGAAGGGGAACCACCCGTCGCGTCCGTTGACCCGATAGAATCGGTAGTGCAGGGTCAGATCCTGACACGCGACAGTGCACGCGCGATCCGGGTCACCTTAGACCAGATAACTTAGTGTCTTATCGTAAGTTCAAGAAGATATGATGGAAGTACGGTTCGGGGGTCACTTTAGATCAGATAACTTAAGTGTCTTATTGTAAGCCCAAGAAGATGTGATGGAAGTACGGTTCGGGGGTCACTTTAGATCAGATAACTTAAGTGTCTTACTGTAAGCCCAAGAAGATGTGATGTAAGTGCGGTCAGGGTCAACATAGTTCAGATAACTTAGTGTCTCATCGTAAGCCCAAGAAGATATGATGGAAGTACGGTTCGGGTCACCTTAGACCAGATAACGTAGTGTCTTATCGCAAGTCCAAGTTGGTATGTTGTACGTACTATTCTTATTACCATTGACCAATAACTTCGTGCCTTATCGTAAGCCCAAGAAGATGCAATGCAAAAACGGTCAGGGTCAACTTAGATCAGTTAACTTAGTGCCATGTGGTAAGTTTACGGAAATACGATGCTAGTACGTTCCGAAGTATTCAAGTTGAAAAACTCAGTATAATGGCGGGATTCGAATTTAGTACTCTATCCGTATTTCGGTTTTAAATCAAACGTGTTGCACTGCTAGAGTTCTAGTTTAGTTATAATCACAAAATTCATTATCACAATACGAATTACGGTTCACCTCATTCTTCTTGTCTCCAACATCCGAAGTATCATGTTGAAGCTACGAAGATACATAACCAAGCGGGAAAATGTAATTATAGCTAAAAGCTTTAAAAATAATTATGCAAACGAATTAATTTTTAAATATTTTAAACCCTAAGTGCGATTGTCAGTAACTATTGGCGCAAAATATTCGAGATATCATTCATTATTGTTAAGCCTGATCTTTTATTTTTATAAGTGTAGTTCTCAATGTTTTCCGATAATTTTACAGGCCAACCCTGCAGAATTTTTTGGGGCAGTAGACAACAATTAATTTATCTTCATATCTACCAGCACAGGCAGTATCATTGACATTTTTAGGTCAGCGACGTTGCAATGCTGCCGTTACAATTTTGTCCATTTTGCTACCTATCCTCAGGATTTCTTTGAATAATTCAACACTGTAGGCAGTCGACATCTCACTGGCGGTGTTGGAAAGCTGCATGCCGACGCCGGAGAGCTGAGACACTTCCCTCTGGAAGCGACGGCAGACGTCGGTATACTCACCTAGTCCTGCAGGACGACCCAGCAGTCCAGGGTCCCCACAGGTTCACCGTGAGGTCCGTGATCGACGAGATGGTCTGGGAGGACTGACAATGAACCCCGCTCGATATGAACTGGGAATCGGGGTTGCAGCTGAACCCCTGTAGGGTTCATACAGTGGTTCATTGTCAGCTGAACCCTTGTAGGGTTCATACAGTGGTTTATTGTCAGCTGAGCCCCTGTAGGGTTCATACAGTGGTTTATTGTCAATTGAACCCTTGTAGGGTTCATATAAATAGCCTATCACGAGCTATATGATCACCTACCTAATTACTAGATATATAGATATATGTATATGCTTTTTTTTAATCAGAAATTTTTTATTACGGTAGCTACCTGCTCCAAGCTCATTGTTATTCCTGCGAGTACTAAATCAGGAGTGTAATTAATAAATACTTACAGTGCAGACGCCAGCGATGCAGTACGCTGCAGAGCCGCTGTCGAGGTAGCACGTCGTGCCATCAGGGTACCACGTGCGCGACACGTCTGCACCTAGAGACACCGTCGCACACGTCACACGGCACTGCGACAGTCCTGACAACCACAGAGACGAGGGTCATACGGTGCAATGTCAGTACAGAGATGATGATTTAAGAAGACGATGCAGCGTCAGTACAGAGATGATGATTTAAGAAGACGATGCATCGTCAGTACAGAGATGATGATTTAAGAAGACGATGCAAACATAAACTTTAGTACAGTCTCACCAAACTTAATTAAGCACAGTAAACATATAAACTTTAGTACAGTCTCATTAAACTTAATTAAGCATAATAAACATTATATAAATTTTAGTAAAGTTTCGCCAAACTTAATTAAGCACAATAAACATTACATAAACTTTAGTGCAGTCTCACCAAACTTAATTAAGCACAGTAAACATTATATAAGTTTTAGTACAGTCTCACCAAACTTAATTAAGCACAATAAACATTACATAAACTTTAGCACAGTCTCACCAAACTTAATTAAGCACAATAAACATTACATAAACTTTATCACAGTCTCACCAAACTTAATTAAGCACAATAAACATTATATAAACTCTGGTAAAGTTTCACCATTAGGGGAGATGGTGGTAGCGAGGCCGGAGTATCTGGGGTTGTCGGTGACGAGGGCGCGACAGGCTTGGTCCGCAAAATCCTGAAGGGTCCTCCGGCTTCCTGCGGCGCACTGCCGCACTGCGCTGCAAGTCCGATACCGAAACTGACCTCGGCACGTGCTGCGCAACGTAAAAAATGTTGCTCAGTCCGAAACTCATTTGCTTAGAGCGGAAAAAACGAAAATGGGTGGAGTTTCTTTGTGATTTTAACTGCTTTTTCATAAAGCATTTTGCACCAGCGAAACTGGTATTTTAATTCGTATTATCAATTTAATAATGATGCACTCTATTCATTGAAACCGTGGGCTTCAGTCCTAAATAAATCCGACAAAATATGTAAGAAAAGCAGAACATCTCTAAGTTTATAACAAATTTAATAAGGAGACTCCCTAGTTTTGAACACCATAAGTTCCAAGCAGCGATATATCCTGTCCTCGCCAATACCTGCACGAGCGGCGGCTCTTCTGAATGCCGATGCTGCCGGAGGAGAGCATGCCGTCCGTGCCGTACAGACACGAGGACTGACACTCGCTCCAGTCACCGTCGCCTGAAGGTGGAAGCACTGACGGTGGCACGGGGGTTATACTTGCGATAGGACCTGAAAAAGTCATAAAAAATTAAGAACAATAAATAAGATAAAAGAAAGCCGGAAAAAAAAAAAAAAAATTTAAAAAAAACAGAATTTTGTGGCATTTCAATCCTTTCTCCGTGCACTCTGTTCCGCTTCGGCGACATTCACTCGAATTTCACCAAAAGTTTTGGAACGAAAATTCCTCTCATTCACTCGCCTGACGGGCTGAATGGGTCAGGAATGCGGGTGAATGGGGTGAGGCTTGGAGGACCAGGAGTGAACCTCACGACAATCGATCCGTCGCTCGGGGGTAAGGACCCAAGCACCGCGGGGATTGAGGGTTGGGGATCAAGCAGATCAATACCAGCAATAGGAGGGCTATGCTCCCCCCTCCTGGAATCGAAGAAGTTGTTGGTGGAGGGGCGGCGGTCCACGGATGATATTTTTTGGCTGTCGCGGGAACGCGTCGTCTGCTTGAGGCAGCGGCCGTGCTTGCACCACTGTTGAGGCACGAATTATTACGCGGTATCCTTTTACTTACACGGCGGCAACCAAACAAAAATTTATGGCAACAGCGAGAAGCGCAAGTTTGTTGTACAGCAATAAATGGCTGCGATTCGGTTTTTCTATCAATGTATCAAATTTACAGAATCTTTTCTTACAGTGAAAACTAACTATCCAAGGAGGTTTTCTATCGACTGGAAACCAAGAGTGTCGGTATAAATCTGACAATTGTCGCGCGAGTTCATAGCACATCCAATCCCAACACCCGAGAATGAACTCTGTAATCATTCAGTCATTAATTTTGGAGCCTTAAACATGTATTCTTACAGTCGAGTACCCCGTTCGAGGTACTCACTTTCAAGGGACCACACGAGGTGCCCTCGAGGGCGGGATGGGAGGTCCAGGTGTAGTGGTCCCTCCTGCAGTGCAGGTCCTCGCAGATCTCCTGCAGCGGTTGTGTATCGGCGTGACGGCTGCCGGGGCCATGCTTCAGCATGCCTGACCAGCATACGCTTTATTTACATCTTTGGTATTTCACTAAACGATTTCAAACCCAAAAGAGCTACGCTATTATTTAATACACCGTAGCAATTTTAGCTACGTCTGTCATTGTTGGCATGAAATTGAGAAAATTGTCACCTAATTTTTGCTGAGACCAATTTCCAATCTCTCGACTCTCAAAAGTAACCATATCTACATTACAAAAAATTTAATAATAATAATAATTTACTTGTCATCGTGTGACACAGAAGGTCAGAAAAGTGTTAGCCAAGAGATTCAACATGAAGTAATATCTGAAAAACATAAAGAAGTGCGAAAGTTGTCAGACTGAATAGCTCTAATATAGTTTCAGTTTTCACGTGAGAAAATTAAGTGTGAATGTTTTATGACTGCATAGACAAAAGTAGTAGCCGGTTCTACCGTGCTCAGGGTAAATGAGAATATTTTTTGACTGCAGGGAAGAAAGAAGTATTCAGTTCTGACATAATAAAATTAAATAAAATAATATCTTAGCGCTGTTCTCATGAATAGCTCTGATATATTTTCAGTTTTTGCGTGCGAAAATTAAATGTGAATGTTTTCAGACTGCAGAGACGAAAATAGTAGCCTGTTCTGGCGTGCTCAGGGTAAGTGAGAATATTTTTTTTACTGTTGGGAAGAAAGAAGCACTTAGTTCTGAAATAATAGTATTAAATAAAACACATAATATTTTAGCGGTGTTCTCACACTGCATGTCGGCAGGGAAGCGCTGCCCCGGCAGCAGCTCGCCGCGGTGGTCCAGCTCAGGCGTCGCCTCAGCCGCGTCTCGCAGGCAGCCCGATTGATCGCTCCTTGAAATTATTATTATTTTGAATTTAAACCCAAAATACCCAGTACAATTTTCATAAAAAGAATCAATTCTACTCAATTATGTAACGGATTTTTATAATTAGATATATCTTATTGAATGATAGATTGAGAAAAAGAGAATATTGAGAATACCGGAAACACGACAATTTTCATACAAATAATAAATTCTACTCAATTATGTAACGGATTTTTATAATTAGATATATCTTACCGAATGACAGATTGAGAATATTGAGAATACGGGGAAAATTGAGATGAACAGAATTTGAGTAGAATTGAACACTTACGATAAAAATATCTCGAGGTACCGGCGGGAACAAGTCGACCAGGTTATTTTCCCCGACCCGAGAGTGGGGGACATGAGATGCTCGCCTGGGTCGCAGTTGTTGCCCGCGGTCGCACCGTCGTGACGCATGCCGAGACTGTAAATTCAAATAGGAAGATCGTTGTTTAATTATCCCGTATTGTGCTCGTTTTATAGAAATAAATTTCAGATAAAACTGAAAGACATTTTTCAAATGGAAATTTAACTCTCCTTACAGTTCTGTTCTCCCAAGGCTGTATGTGTTATAGCGTATTGTTATTGAAGACTGGAACAACCATGAAGTTTTCATTCTAATTATAGCGCAATAATTTATTTGTAATTAAGTTGAGAGAACAACGATTACATTTTTTTGTGAAATTTAATTTTGCGCATTGTTATAATATCCCCCGGCTGCATGTGCTATGGTTTATTGAAGACTCGAACAGCCAACATGTAAGTTTTAACTCCAAATAAAGTGTCTTATTCACGATGTAATGAAAATGAATTCGGGAAAATAAACTTTTATTTTTAAATGGAAATTGAAAATTGCATTTATCATTGATTATTGAACGAATCTTGGTGTTTCGCTTAAATTTAATAAAGTGATGAAAGCCAGTGATATCATTGATCCCAGCGATCTTATTTAAATATTATATTTTAAGTATCAACAACAATCAATTGGTTAAAATGTATCAACAACAATCAATTGGTAAAAATGAGCATTTGAGAAAAACTCGTAATGAGCAACGCGGCATGTCTGGAACAACTAAAACAACTAAACCGCTTAGACACACTTAAACCGTTAAGTCGCACATAAACCGTCAAGACACGCTTAAGCTGTCGAGACACACGTAAACCGGTATGACACCCGCAGGCCGTTGTGACACACGTATCTCACTTGTGTCCTATACGACACACGTATCTCACTTGTGTCCTATACGACACACGTATCTCACTTGTGTCCTATACAACACACGTATCTCACTTGTGTCCTATACAACACACGTACCTCACTTGTGTCCTATACAACACACGTATCTCACTTGTGTCCTATACAACACACGTATCTCACTTGTGTCCTATACAACACACGTATCTCACTTGTGTCCGATTTCGTGCGCCACGACGTAGACGGACTCGAAGTGGCGACCTTCGTTCACCGTACACGAGCTGGAGGCGCTACACATCCCGGCTACAGGGGCCAGGCCTTGATGAAAATAATGGAAGTTTAATGTACCAGTTTCTGCAAAAATTATCAATACATGAAATTGGGTGAATTGGTGGGGAATATGTTTATTTATACATGGTATTATTTCTACCGAATCCGACGTTTTGAAGCTTTGATTATGGTTAAAATGTATCAACAACAATCAATTGGTAAAAATGAGCATTTGAGAAAAACTCGTAATGAGCAACGCGGCATGTCTGGAACAACTAAAACACAACTTAACCGCTAAGACACACTTAAACCGTTATATAGGTCGCACATAAACCGCTAAGACACACTTGAACCGTTAGGAAGCACATAAACCGTTAAGACACACTTAAACCGTCATGGCAAATTGTCAAGGCACCCGTAATTTGTCAAGGCACATGTAAATCGGTATAACACAAGTAAGCCTATGTGACACACGTATCTCACTTGTGTCCGATTTCGTGCGCCAAGACACACTCATCTCACTTGTGTCCGATTTCGTGCGCCACTACGTAGACCGACTCGAAGTGGCGACCTTCGTTCACCGTACACGAGCTGGAGGCGCTACACATCCCGGCTACAGGGGCCAGGCCTTGATGAAAATAATAGAAATTTAATATACCAGTTTCTGCAAAAATTATCAATACATGAAATTGGGTGAATTGGTGGTGAATATTGTTATTTATTCATCGTATTATTTATACCGAATCCGACGTTTTGAAGCTTTGATTAGGCGGAAATAATTTTCCAAATCTTAACGATACTTTCTTTTTAGCGCATTTTCTCATTTATGAAAAAATTCACTATTGTGCTCGCCGTATGTCCGTCCGTCCGTCCGTCTGTCCGTCTGTCTGTCCGTCCGTGACTTCACGTTTTCGTCGACGAGAAAATGCGCTCTCTTTCACTCACTGCAGTGAGTACTGAGTTATATTTTTTCCTTTTCATTTGTAGGCAGACATAAGCTCTACATTTCTTAGACTTAGTTTTGAAACTGTATACACCTTGTCATGCTAACATTATTATCTTTTTCCATTCCCTTAACCTTTGCTTTTCACCGCACTTCGATAAAAAAAATATTTCTCATTTTTGCTGCTATAAAAAAATTTCTGAGGTTCACTAACCGACGACCTGAGAGTTGAGTCTTCCTCTGGAGGTGACGGTGTACAGGTCGAGCCCTGTCAGGACCAGGGCGTGGTCCCAGTGCAGCGCATGGTCATCCCCTACAGGGTTTTCGTCCCTCTGCCACCTGCGTGAAAATTTTTGTAATTACCTTGGCATAATTTTACGTACAGCTGGCTGCTCTGCGCTAATCATTATTTACTAATATAACGTCACTCGATCCTAGTCGTTACTCATAGAATGACGTCATATGTACATATAAGCTTACGGCGAGGTGTTCACCTTTTCAGTTATGCTGAATGAACCTACCAACCTGTCTACGTTTAATTTCAACTCTAACGGATTTAACAACCTGCAGAAGTTGGTGAGGTAGATGTCGATATCGTGAGGCCGGTGCAAACCCACAGGATCTTCGTGCAGAACTTCCAGGCGTTTGATGATGAAATGAACCTCCACTCCGAGGCTCTTCTCGGTGTAGAGCAGCTGCACCTGAAGATATATGCACGGCACAGATAAGAACTAAAGAACGCATACATTTTAATTTATAATTATCTTCTATATATTAGTTATTTATCACATTTTGTAACTGATACCGCAATCACACATCAGCCAAGCAGAGCAAAATACTTTGATGAGTTTAAAACTTCAGAAATTTGTAAGTTAAACGAAATTTCTAATTCTTCACAACGATTGGTAACTTTTAGCATTAATATTGCGAATAAATCAAAATTAAATAACAAAGAAGATTTTTTATGAACGTTTTTGACTGTGCAGTACATATATAGTAGTGTTGATGTCTAAAATGATATGAACATGAGCAAAGTAATCTGATTCCCAAAAACTGTGGCATTCATTTACGGATCTGAATTAAGACTTTATAGTTGAAACCAGATGTGTCAACAATATACCAGATGTGTCAACAGTACACCAGATGTGTCTACAACATACCAGATATTTCAACAATAAGCCATCACGCTCGGAGTAAAGATGTCTCACCGCATTGACCATGGCGAGCACGACTTGCACGAGTTGTTCCTCGCTGTCCGTAGGGAAGTAATTCTCCATGTGCTCAGCCAGATCCTTGTCCACGAACACGGCGGTCTCCACATAAATGGCTGCCGGTAACTTCTGCCGGGATCCGCCCGTCACGAAGAGATCGTTGTCAGCTGAGTTTGATAGTCCGCTGCTGAGATCCGTGATCCGAGGTACCGGGCGGTTGAACAGTGATTCAGACTGGAACCGGCTTATTAGGTACTCCCGGTCGTGGCCTCCTAAGCGATTCAATTATAATAATATTCAATATTCACAGCCTCTCTGGCTGTTTCAACTTGGTAAACAGACATCCTGTTTTTATAGTTCATACAAAAATTAGTAGCCTCAAATAAACATTCAAGAAAAAGCCATTTTGATGCGAAATTATGCAACTTTATTTCACTGACTAATGTTGCATGGGCGTTTGAATGTTAAATGAGTAATCCAGCGGGCCACTTCATCATCATTAATCTCAAATACACGGGGAAATATTTTGGATCACTTTTTGAATCCCTACACTGTAAATCGAGACCAGTTTACCCGATAATGCTTACAGGATAAATTGTATGTTTTCTTCATTCTTCCTGTTAAATCTGGTCCAATGAAGTCAGTAGTCATTAAGCAGCGCTGACTTCCACTGATACGATTAGTTTTTTTTACATCAACTGTTAAAGCTGGAATACCCAAATATTAGATATTGGGGTTAAATTTAATCTTCCCACCTTCCCCCTGAGTTGAGGAGCAAGGTGGGTTGCGGCTCCTCCTATGGATGAGGAGAGGGATTTCTTCGCGCCGAGTAGAGCGTCGGTGGCGCCGTAGCGCCGTGTCGGGCAGCGGCTCGATGATCAGCTCGTCCGTCGGCGAGCGTATTACTCCGCGCTGGACCCACAGATCAAATAATGGTAGAATTAATATGTATTAATTCAACCATGGATCAAAATTAATGATCTAGTCATAGTGATGGGAAAATTCGGTGAATTTCAATATTTACAACACCGTTCTCATCCATTCAGTATTGACAATGCAAATGCAACACGTTTCCCTTATCACTGTAGAAAAAAATTGTTAATAATGTACCCTATAAGCTTGTAACACCCTCTTCAAGATGCTTCTCACATCACAGTGGCGGTGTATAGTAAATAATATATTAGCTAAGCTTTTTATATCCTTATAAGTGCAATACGTTTCTCATAAAACCATGTCAGGAATGTCTAAATAATGTGCTTGATATCGGCTACCATGTGGGAGCAAATGTTGACGGCGATGGAGGTGTCTCGGCGGCGGCCGGTGTAGAGGCAGTCCCTGCGCTCAGCGAGGCTGCCGACGTCGGAGCGGTTGTGGTAGCGGTGCACCAGCGCCGCCAACGGCGACACGAGGCCTCTCGACTCCTCCAACCTGCCGAGAATATTGGGGCAAACGATCAGCCACTCCCCTGCCAAGTGCCCAGGATGAGCAAAACGCACTCACCCACCAGGATGGAGACATGAGGCAATACCTTAATCTCTTTCTTGTGAAGATATATTGCGCTTCGTCTAAATCGGAAACTAAATAGCAGTAAATTAAGTAACAAATTGGAAAAATTTACAGTAACGAACAGCGATTACAAAAAATGAGCAAACAATCATCAGCATGGACGTTCGCTCCTCCTTTTGCAGTGCATTCTTAATATTACGTGATTATGGGGAATAATCAATCTGCTGCAAACCCATCAATTACGAACGAGTTTGAAAATTGTAACTTGTAATCGTATGAGTGCAAATACACTTTCCCGAATAATAGAGACTCCTGTGCGATAATACTTTGATATTCACGGCATGATATTCAGAATGAAGAATGAATCTCGACATTCATCCTATAATAATTAAGAGCCGTAGTTCCGCATTGACAGCGGGTATAAGTAGACGCCTGATTGGTTCTTTACATAATAGTACGCAAATAAATTTAACAATCCTTGTTATTGCATAGACTCTTTTAGAAATATAAAAGAAAACCTGATATATTCCGTATATTTTATTACCAGTAAAAATGTTTACTAATAATTTCATAATATTATAAAATCTTACAAACCAAAATGCACAAAACTGAACACTCAAAGACTAATAACTTTAAGTAAGGGTAACTCACTTAAAAGAGAAGGTTTGTCCGAGGGCGTCAAGAGTGAGGTGAAGAGGGTCGGCATCACCGCCGGCGTCACCGCCCAGCTGCTGCTGGTGGACGGCGGACGACCCGGGGACGGACCTCGTCCACCGGGACGACGGCCCTGGGACGGACCTCGTCCACCGGGACGACGGTGAGCTCAAAGTAGGGACCACGATGTCGTAATCGGGTACTGGGAGACGGTATAATTTATTAATTTTATACCATGGAGAGTTCTTTATGTTATTAAAGTCGACTATATGACCAGAGTATTTATAGCGAGCACTTAACATAGTGATCATAACATAACATAGTGATCTCGGCGCTGAAATGTAGGCCTGATGTGGCCTGTCGCCGATTCCTTTTCTTTTCGTGCCTTGTTCAAAGAAGATCTAAAATCGTGTCATTTGACCGGATCTTTTCACGACTTATGTGCATACGTGCTAGGTGATCGAGAACGCATTTTCCCTGACAATAGTTGGCATTCGGGAAACTCGAGTTTGATTATTTTATTTCTGAAAAATAAAAATGAACAATCATAGTAACATTTACATCGCGTTGAAAACTATTTAAAGCTCCTTAATTAACCCATATTTCGTTGTGGAAATTAGTAAAGGAGAAATGTCTTCGATCAAAGTTCTTTCAAGAGGATAGGGGGCATCGTTTACTTGCGTCAAATTAAAACTGAAACGTAAACAACAACTTCCTACTTAAGTAGCTAACAATAATTAGCGATGCGAGTACATTGCTTACTTAAAATGATTTTGCTGGAGTTCATGTCAATAATATTTAACAAAATTTTATTCTCTGTCGACCACTGCAAATCTGTACATGACACTCACACTTGCTGAGCGCTCCGAAGACCAGCCGTAACTCATCATCAGTTAGCGAGGTCTTGCTTGCTTCACTCTGGTATGGAAAAATAATGATAATTATTTTGTTTAACGTAATTTAGCTCTGCTAAATAGGCTCTAGAGTCATCAGTTTTCCTACCAGTGTTTTATTAGTATATGAGAAACTTTAATGAAAATAATTGCAAGATAAATAAATTTATTAAGGAAATATATGTTTTTACAAAATAATGCACGGAATACTTTCCATTATTTAACGAAGAATATTATATACTCTCCGTGCACCTATTAATTTCACATACAACATGCATCTACTGATTTTTCGCCTTGCAGCAAAAACAACAAAACATAATTAAAAACAAGGCTTCAAATCATTTTATCAGACAAGAAAAACTAGCTTCAAACCATTAGTAGTTTTTTAATAATTCGAAACAAATAATTCATGAGTTTCGCGTCGAAAATTGAAATCGATATAAAACATGAAACGATATTTTACAGATTCGACTTGTCGAATTACAGCCAGTAAAAAACTTGTAAGGTTTGAGCTTGTAAAAATATGTGAAACTATGGGAATTTTCTTACCTGTGCTATTGTTAGGCTACAATAAAATAAAATTGGAATTATTGTATAAACTAGAATTCGTATGAAGACAGGGACTATTGTACGAGGCTTGAAAGGCCGCACGGCTTGTTCGACCCTCGCCATATTATAGTACGTGCGCATCATGGATACCGAGATGCACCCAGCATCATCATGACGTCTAAAATAAAGGAAACATCACGACCATGAGTCTGTAAAAAAAATTACAAGTTTGATTGATTACTTATGTTCCGCATAAAGACATGAGTAAGTCAATTATAAACTGGACTGTGAGCTGTATCATAACACAGACATCAAATTAATTATTGATGTTGATATGGTATGAAAACAAATTGAAGACATTGTTAAAAGTGAGTGTGACTTCACAATTCGTAGATTCAATAGCAAGAAACTCAAACTGCTCATGGATATTCGTCCTCACATCTTAAACGAGACTGTAAAATAAACAATAAAAAAATTCAAAATGTAGATAGAAGTATTTTAAAAGTGTCTCATAAATGGTACAATTAATGGAGCTTAGAGAGTCGGTATTTGACTTCAAAATCCCTTATCATTCTAAAATTGAAAAGTTCAAGCAAGGCTCTCCAGTTTTTTCTCTCTCCAAAATGCTTAAGCTCTTTTCTCTCTCCAAAACGGCTCCCCTAAAAGGCTCCCTCCAATAGGTCCAGGCTCTCCAGCGGCTCTCTACAAGGGGTAACAATGCTGCCGCACCTCAATAAAACTTAAGAGAGCCTTAGCTTTCCACGTGATGATTGTAATCGATATCAACAGGCTCCTTCTAACTTCCTTCAGTGGGTCATACGCACGAGTTGTTTCTACGTTCGCGTGCACCGTGCGGCACCCTAATCGTTATTACACACTCACAGAAATGAATGTTATAATGACAAAAATAAATAAAATAACAGGGAAATAACGTATAAGTGCTGAGTGAGAAAAGTGTGACTATTTGGTCTATATAACCCATCAATTTTCTGAGTATACAGTTCGTATTCGATATGCTTGTTCCGAGCTTGTTGTTATTGGTGGCGCGACCCTCGGCGTAGCACACAAAGCGTAACTGCTAGCGGGAATGACGCTAAATAGTTACGGTAATGGCTGACCATTAAAAGTCTACGCTTCTCGGTCTGGTGGCAGCCCTCACGGCTGTTCTACCTGAGTTGTAGCTTACTTCCTGCACCAGAGAGCTTGGTATTTCAAACGTTATCAATGACAGGATTACAGGAGATTGATATGAGTTATGAGCGTTCTTAATTAGTGTTTTAAAGGTGTGCTGTAAGAAATTGACGGCGTAAAGGTAAAATAAATTCTTTAATAACGATATATGTGCGTTCTCCTAGGGTAATAATGAATGGTTTTACGCGTTCGGAAAATTATTTTGGTATGCATTGAGAAATATAATTCAATGAACTCGAGTCGGTCAAAATTTTGTGAACAAAACTATAATAATAGACCTACTGAACTTTGTAATACAAAGTATCTCGTGTCAACTCACAGTCATGTGTCAGGTGAGAGATTGACAAAAATTTGCACCTCCGTCGAGTGTTAACTGCGTTTGATAGCCAAGCTCGTGCGAGAAATTCCCGCGACTTATAAAGGGGGAATTAAGCATTAGATTAAGCTGCGTGTCATTACCGTGAAATAATTTGATTAGATACGGGGAGCAGTGGTTAGCGTCCACTTAAATAACAGAAGGTAGTTATTTAAATTAAAAGAATAATACAGAAGTTAAAGAGCGAATGAATATCAGACCTCGTGACAGTCTGGTGCTCAATAGTAGCACGAATAACTGTGAACATAGTAACGGGTTCTGTACATCGGAATGAAGGAAATGCAATTGTGATAAAGGCCTCAATGATGAGAGGAAAAACTTACTTCCTGCAGGAATGAAGGGGTTTAGGAGCTAGTATGTAATATTTCACATGTGGAAGCACGGTATAATTATACGTATAAATTTCGCTTGAAATGCAGTAACGACTATAGGGGTAGTCAGTCGAACGCTTATGCACATTTCTTATCGTTTGCCTGAGCTCAGGCATGAATTATAGGGGCTATGTTATTTAGTTCGGGGCTTAAAGAATATCGAATGCTTCTAGGATTCATTCGTTCAGTGTTAACAAAGATGGCCGTCATGAGATAAGATTAAACAGAGATGGATGAATTTCTTGACGAGCGAGGAAATGGTGGAAGTTGTTATTGATAACGAGCGAGATAATCGCAGTACATTTCGACAGCCCAAACCCTTGATAGTGCGCAGGTATGGTACGTTTTAGTTAGAACATATTCCTGTCATATCTTGTTCAGTTAATGAGCTTTTTGCAAGTTTGATTTGTTTTGAACGTCCTTGTTATATCCATCTGATTTGAAGCGGGCGGTACAAACGCCTCCAGCATACACCTTTTTGTCAGGTAAAATTCGTTTCATTTTCAATCGAATGTGAAAGAAATCAACGAGCCAATTACTGTCCTCATTTGAGATTAAAACAGTCAATCGGTCACTTGTAACCAGGCATAAATATTCCGTATAAGCGCATTTATAATTAATTGTTCTAATTCTACAATTACTGTAGAACGAATTTACCAATGAACATACGGCGCTCAACCCGATAACATGAATGTACAATTTATTATAAAAAACTAATCATGCTTGAATTTTGAGCCTGTTCTTCACTTCACATTAAATGCCTCAATTCTTGATCATTACAATTTTTCCTACAGCACCAAGCTTTATATTCCGCAGCAACTGAACTCCAACAACAAATAACAACGGATGGCGTGTTAATATACCATAAAAGAGATCGCAACAGTTAACAGTAATCATTCTTGATACGAAGACATATGGTAATCAGTGCCAACCAGTTCATTCTCGTGACATAGGTGAAACGTCAACTTAAAATTACGGAGTTAACACCGCAGGCGAAATATTAAAGTTTGTACTCCCCTTAGAATTCGAATGGTACCGAAACGTGTCCTGTTAATTAAACAGGAATGGCAGTGGGACAAACTTTTCTGCAACGTCAAGCTATTAATATCTTTCTTGTCTGTACAAGCCACGGTAATTGAGCAATTTGTCCGGAAATTTGGCCATCAAGGCTTGGCTTCGACGCGTATTTCATTGCGCAACAAAACGGGAGTATCAACTGAATAATTCATAATAAAGAGCGCACACTGCACGAAATGATATTTTTCACTCAAACATTATGTACCAATAATGTGCATGTTTGAGGCACAATTACAATGGATAATAACACATAGTTAAGGCCACTGTTATTTCAGATACCCTTATGAAACTTATGCATATAGCATTAGAGATAAACGAATTGTTTCATTATTTGTATTGTATTTATTATTGACATCCCATGGCTGCAAGTTATACATTCATGAATCGATGCAAATATCGTTACAAAATCGATGCTCCTCAGTCGTTACCTGCCAGTGGTGCAAAACACTCCAGAATTCGTCGACAGAAGCCGGATGTCCAACAAGAAAAATGTAAATGGTTTTTAAACAAACGGTACCGCCAGTGTATTTTTTTTAGTAGCGACAGGTCTGTAGCCCACGCCATTCACGGAATACAAAGAAGACGACGCCAAATTAAAATATCCGTAAAATACTTTGCTGCGGTTGAAGAAGAACTGTTGGATCCCGATTCCCGACGCCCTTCACGGAGCTCAGCAGACGACGCCAAATTAAAATATTCGTAAAATACTTTGCTGCGGTTGAAGAAGATCTGTTGGATCCCGACGCCCTTCACGGAGCTCAGCAGACGACGCCAAATTAAAATATTCGTAAAATGTTTTCCTGCGGCTGAAGAAAGACTGATGGAGACCGACGCCCTTCACGGAGTTCATCGGACGACGGTAGATTAAAATATCCTTTGTCACTGTAGAGAAAAAATTAACGTTCGACGGAAAGATTGCTGCCGCTGCAGATCATGTGCTTCATTAAACAAAAGGAGACCCGCCTCCTTGACTTGCAGATGTTACGAATCAGATTTTCGGCATTCCTCACTAAATTTTACTAGCTATTTTGTTTTTAGTTTCCTTATTTTGTGTCAACGTGACTGAACGCTGCTGTTCAAGTAAGTAAGGATTTCAAAGCCAATTACATTTTACATCTTTTGTGAGTTTATATCGCGTACAATC